ATACTATGCACAATTCTTCAACCACAAATTGACAACTTAGATGAAATGGACCTATTCTTCAAAAGACAGAATTTGCCAAAATTTATACAATAAATAAACAGACAATATGAATAGGCCTATACCTATTAATGAAATTGAATCAATAATTAATAACATTCTAAAACAGAAAGCATCAGGCCTAGGTAGGTTTACTGATGAGTTTTACCAAACATTTATGGGAAAATATTACACCTGTTTTCTACACTCTCTTACAGAAGACGGAAGGAGCGGGAATACTTCCTAACTCATTCTGTGAGGCCAGTGTTACCCTAGCACTAAAATTAGACAAAAACATTACAAGAAAACTATAAATCAACATCTCCCATGAAAAAAAATGCAAAAAATCTCCAACAAATACTAGCAAATTGAATCCCAGCAATTTATGAAAAGAAACACACAATGACCAACGCTGGTTCCACATTCAAAAGTCCACTAATGTAATCTATCACAGCAACAGGTTAAGAAAAATCCCATTATCATATCAAGAGCAGAAAAGAGCATTTGACAAAATGCAACACCCATTCATGATAAACCCTCAGTAAGTATGATTAGAGAGGAATTTCCTCAAGCTGACAAAGTACCTATAGTCAACACCATATTTAGTGATGAAAATCAAATGCTTTCCCACTAAGATCAATCAAGCACAATGTAAGGGTGGCTCTTCCATCGCTCCTTTTCAACACTGTACTGGAAGGTGTCGCTGATGCAGTTGGGTGAGAAAAGGTAAGAGGTGTATGATTAGTGAAGACATAAAACTGTCTCTGTTACCAGGTGGCATGGTCAGCTCCACAGAAAAAAAATATATATGTCAATCACTTTCCTATATAGTAACAATGAAAAAAGTGGAATTTATCATTAAAAACACAATACTATTCACTTTAGTGCCCCAAAAATGAAACTCTTAGGTATAAATCTATCAAAATATATACAAGGTCAATATGAGGAAAACTAAGAAAGTCTGATGAAAGTAATCAAGAAAGAAGGCAATAAGGGGGAAAATATACCATGTTCATGGACAGGAAGACTCAAGACTGTCAGGGCGTCAGTTTTTCCCAGCTAGATGTTAAGATTCAATGCGATACCAGTCAAAACTCCAGCAAGTTGTCTTGGGGGTGTAGACAAACTGACCCTGTCTAAATTTTATACAAACAGGCAACAGGAAAGAGCAATCAAATGAAAGTGATGGAGATGCCCTCCACGTCATTTACCTCAGCAGGCTGGCTTCTGTTGAGTTGGAATAATCTTAGTTTTTGTTCATAATAGAGTCCTCTAATCAGTCAGTGAATGTTGCTTTCTACTTTCTTTAAGTATGTACCCATTTACTTTTCTATTAATGTATTAAAAACCCATAAACACTCCCCTAACTGAAGAACGTGAACTTTGAACTTTCACTATTGTTTAAATCTGTTCCAACAGTTTTTAACACACAGAAATGGCAGCCAAGATCTTCACCAATGGAGAACAATTACGTTGGGTGTGATGTGTCCACCGTGTGGCATATACACAGATTTAAAAAGAAAGAAGAGTCTACACTTCAGTTTTTCGAAGAAGATCAGTGATCCTGTAGGAGATCAATCACGCACCTTGACTCATACCACGTGTTCACAGCTGGCCCAAGAATGGCCAGGATACTATTTATCACCTTATCTGACACCCAACATGAGAAGGTGACATGACTATTACGAGTGTCCTCAGTACTCTCTCCCCACCTAGTCTGAATATAGAACATCTTTCCTAACAATGGAAGTCACTCATGCAGGACTCGATAGATTTAAATCCTCTTTCATGGCACAATTTCTCACCAACCGTCCCTGCTAGATGCTATTTCGTGTATGTATTTATTCATTCATTGCTTTCTTTCTTTATTTATTGTCCTACTCATGAATAATTTAAACATCGGTTTGCTTTCTCCAAGAAAGCAGGTGAACAATTCACCAACAACCCAAACTGCAAGCCATAACAGTCTTGAAAGAAAGAAGAACCAAGCAGGGAGTAGCACACTACCTGGCATCAAACTATACTGCAAGGCTACGGTCATCAAAACAGCATGGCACTGGCATAAAAACAAACACATAGATCAATGGGACAGAATCGACAGCCCAGAAATAAACTGACGCCTATATGATCAATTAACATTTGACAAGAACATACGATGGAGTAAAGACAGTCTTCTCAATAAGTGGTGTTGGGAAAATGGGACAGATACATGCAAAAACATGAAACTAGACCACCTTCTCACACCACATGAAAAAATAAACTCAAAATGGATTCAAGACCTAAATGTGAGGCTGGAAACATTAAAACTCCAAGAAGAAAGCAAAGGCAGTAAACTCTCCGACATCTCTCTTGGTAATATTTTTTTCTGATACATCTCCTCACACAAGAAAAACAAACAAATAAAAATAAAATAAAATAAATGGGACTGCACCAGACTAGAAAGGTTTTGCACAGCAAAGGAAACCAGCAACAAAATGAAATGACAACCTCGTGAATGGGAGAAATAGTCACCAACTGTATGTCCAGGAATCATTCATACCTTTGTTTATTGATTCCCTCATTAAGTCACTAGTACTAACAATGCCAATATATATGAATCAAAAAATCGAAAAGCAAAAATTTGGAATATTACCAAGCTGCGCCTACAGGCTTGTTTTCCCTAAAACTAAGAGACTATATCTTTTCTGCAGTGGATCTCAGTATCACGCACATCAGTCAACACCTTCCTTGTTTCACATCAAGCCCGTGTTCACATTCTGGCCATGCTAACCCTTCCTTCATTTAATGTTCCATGTTTGAAAGATGGTTCATGGGGTAGCCCGCCCCCAAACATCTCCCAGTGACCCATGACTGCTGGCATTCCTCCTACACTAAATCCCACCCGGCCTCCTGACCCATGGAACACTGTGGCAGCGATGGCCGGCGACCTCCGAGCCTGGGTGGGGAATACCCCCAGCCCGTCACGCTCCTCTCTTGCACTGGCTGCTACAGGGGAGGCCGGCTGTCCTGCCGGGGATAGCTGGTGGCTTCACTGGGGTGGCCAGCCCTGAGAAGAGGCTGTGAGGGCGCTGGGACCCCCACCCATCAGTCTGGCAGCGGCCTCTCCACCCTGCTCAAGCTTTCAGATGACCTCCTGCCTGGGACCACACAACAGACCCTCGTTCACACTGCCCGCCAGCACTGAATGGCTAAATCAGCTACAGTGCTTTCATTCTGTAAAGCAAAACGCACACTTTACAAAGAATGAAACAGCACAGACAACTTTTTCCCTGGGAACCGGAGTCGTGAGGTCCTAGGAAAATCATAGCTCCCACCATGTTCTCTTTACCAACTCAGAATGACTCTGCTTTTTACGTATGGACGTGATTCCTGTTTAATTTCTCATTAGTGTAGCAAACTCTGTCGGATGTACCACCTCACACAGGAGTAATGAACACAACCAGGGCTGGTACCCTCCGTGTACTTACTCCAACACCCCCGAGTTCACTGCCCCCTTCGCCTTTTCGGGAGGACTGCGTTCGCAAACCGCCGACGGTGCCCTGAAGGGTTAGGCCGGGATTTGCCCCGATTAACACCTGGGCCGACTCCCGCATGTTTCTCTCATTTAATTACTCAAAGAATAATTTGATCTTTGGTTTATTTTTTAAAGATAAAGAGTAAAACCCAGCAATAATCCACAATTAAAATATCATTTCATGCCACTGCTGACGAGCACTCTGTCCAAAGGGAGCTACGCTTAGCTTTCTTTTTCTTCATCTGAGATGATTTAATGATACCTAGTCCTCGCTGACCTATGCTCTGCCGTTTTCTCTTTAATTAAACATATGGGAGTGGCCCTGGTTAATCAGATCACAGAGGTTTTGAGTGCACCGTGCTGTGATTCGTCATCTGTAGACTGCACTGTGCACCCGCCGCCGCCACCCACAGCCGCATCTTCTGTCACTGTGTACTCGGCTCCCTTTTCCCTCGGCCACCGTCCCCGGTCCCCCTCCCTCTGGGACCCAGCACGCTGCCGTCTGTGTCTGTGAGTTTTTCAGAGGAAGGGGGAGGGAGAAAGATGGATTTGTTGTTCCATTTATGGATGCGTTCATTGGTTCATGCTTGCATGTGCCCTGACTGGGGATTGAACTCACAACCTTAGCGAATTGGGTAACACTCTAACCATCTGAGCTACCCCAGCTGGGGCCTGCACCACATCTTCTTTACCCAGTCTTCTATCAAATGAGGCTTCTCTAAATAAGTGACCAAAATATGAACTCATTCATTCATTCATTCACTTTTAACAATACATTCAGAACAAATGCCCTGGGACGCTGGACAGCAACATCGACTAATTCTAATACATGATATGCTCACTGTCCACAAACCCCACCTGCCGCATCTTTTTGGTTTTTAACCGTAGTCAGGAAACAGAATTGATGTGATCATACCTACTATCACATTCCCAACATCATCTGCGCTTCGTCTTCCTTCAAGTAGGCACTTATTTAAACAGTTACTTTCATGGAAACGATTTGTTCCTTTTTTAAGTAAAACCAACGGCCAGCATCCCACCACCAATCCCAAGCAACATGGGCCCGTCACGGAACAGCATGTGTGTCCTTCGCAGGAAACAGTAAGAGGGACTCGGTCCATTTAGGTCATGAAACTCGGTGCTTCCAGAAACAACAGGATTCATGACCCTTATTTCACCGCATCTTGCATCCTGGTCTTCGGGCGTTGGCACGTCTCATTCTTGCACCGCTTCACTTAAGATGTGTGTCCCAGACACTGACGACAAAGCTCCAGGGCCAGCCCCCCACTGCTCCTAACTTCTGAGTACACCCCTCTCCCGCCTAGCCAATCACTCGGCTTCTTTCTACTAATGGACTCAAAGTTACAGAGGTTCCTCAAAGTCTCAGAATACCATCATTTGTCTCTATTGGACATCCTTTTTCTTCCTTTATTTATGTATTATTTATTCCTTTATTCACTAATAATAATCAATCAAACCTCATGAATCGAAAACCTAATAACAATATCCTTGAATATTGCTAATTACTGCCCAAATGCCCACATACCCCATGCGAATCGATGAGGGCACTCTTTGGAGTGCTTTTTGCACACACAAACTCATAGGTATCTGCGTCCTATCCCTTGCAATGGCCCACACGTGGCCCTTGGTCACTTAAAGATGCGATGGACAGCCATTCTGCACCGTGACCTCACTTCGCACAAGAACACCAGCAACTCTGTCCACCTTCCCACGTGCTCCTCCCTCGGGGAGTCAGCCCGCGTCTCCCCCCATGGAGCAGCGCCGAAACGGACTGCAATGCAAAGATGAAACCCAACGCGAACCCCTGAAGATGAACACAATGCAGCTCTCCTGCTGGATTGTCCTTAGCACTGAACTGATTCACCACAAATCCCAATTTGGGCCTCTGCGGGCGTTATTCGGTTTTATTTATTAATGTATTCATCTATTACTTAGAAAAACTCAAGACACACCCAGAAACCAACCTCCCAATCCAAGAACGGAAGCTCTCATTACTTACGTCGCTCCCTGCCCTCCTTACCCACAGTTAGTGGAGGCCGAGGACGTCAGTACGAGAGAAGAGGAAGTCGTGTGCAGTGGTTCAGATGGGGAGACGCAAACTTTCTAAGGGAAGGAAACAGCGTATAGTTAGGTATTTTTTAATGGGAGCCAATCTGTTAATGTTTAAAATAATTATAAACTTGGTTCATTTCCTAATCTTTTCATTGCCCAAGAATTACACACTCTATTTTATCGACTTATTTAATTTTTATTTTTAAACAATACAACAAACAGCAACCTGAGAATAAGAACCATTATCTTTCCTAAGTGTCTGCCTACACACTCACTATTCATCAATTTCACAGCTCAGTGACTGCTTTTAGTGGAACTCGCTGGTGCAAAACTGGATAAATGTAAATCTTTGTCTTACAGCATCATCTCACCGAGGATGTAGAAACTTTCCTGATTTATGTGACTCGACATTATTTATCCACGTGCAGCATGAAGCGTAAAGTGCACAAATTATCTACCCATTTTTAGAGAAACTCCAGACAAGTTTCTACATGTACTGTAGCCAAAGCAGGGGGAGCCAAGAGTTCCATTTCTTCATCTGGAAAACCTTTGGGGACCAGTAGCTTGGGTCCCTGACATGTGTCCCTCGTCAGCCTTCCTTTCAACCACTGACCTATGTAACAATGCACCCCTTTGCTCCCTTATCCCAGAACATCAGTGCCAACTAAAACCCAGACACTGGACAGGAGCCTCAGATACCGTCCACAAACCCGTGGCCCGGGAACGGCTGACCAAACCCTCTTTCAGTTGTTCTATTTGTTGACACCATTACAGATGTCGCCCATTTGCTCCCTCTGTGCCCACCTGCACCCAGACGCCATGCCCCCATCCCCTGGCCTCCACCACATAATTGTCAGTGTCCATGGGCGATGCATGTATGTTCTGTGGCTAATCTCATCACCTTCTTTTACCCAGTCCCCCTCCCCCTCCACCCGAGATCTGTCAGTCTGTTCCAGGTGTCCACGCCTCCGGTTTCATTTTGTTTATCGGTTTAAAAAGTTCAGTGAATAGAACTGAGTTAATCATAACTCTGGTCATATGACACATTTCTCAATATTGGTTTGTGTTTGGCCCTCTCTCAAAAAGATAATCATATAGGCAATTGTGTGTTTATGTAAGCTTCTTTTTTGTCCTTTTCTCATTAAAATCACCCACCAAACAGTCAAAGTAGCGACATAGACTCGAGGATGTCTCTGTCCACTTGGTCACTGAAGGAGGGCTCAGCACGTTTCCAGTGCACACTGACTGGTGCTCCGTCACTTCCTGTTGGTCCACGGGGGCTCCCTGCCGTCAGTTACCCACACGTCCCCTCCTCCATTCCCGCCTTTCCTTCCCAAAGAGCTCCCGTATCTCTTTTCGCAATAATCCACAGGTTTCCAGACAAATTAATTACAATTTTGGACTGGGGCTCAATGCCCCCTCCCGGGGTCGTCCGGGCCTAAGCTTTGCACTCTTTCTTCTGTTCTCTACTCCTTTGTTTATCGATTTGTTCAGTGGTCCAGTAAAAGTATAATCAATGCACATAAAGCACAAAATCTCAACAGCATGATTCTCGACTATTACTAAGACCTATGCACAGGCTCCTGACCACCGAGCTCACCGTGGCGGGCTCTTGCCGTGGTGCTAGGGTGGCAGCAGGCACCCCCGTCAGGACATCTGCCAGGGGCAGCCATCTGTGAGTGTGACCGAGGGAGTGAACACCCACCGGGGGCAGCCGTGTGTGAGTGTGAAACAGGGGAGTGAACATCTCTGGAAACTGGGGCAACATTTTCCACCTTTTGTTAAGGAGTCTCCTCAATAAAATACTTTTGTTAAGGATTAACCAAATTAATGATGACCACTGATGATTCGTAATCTATTCCCATTACTGTATAGCATTCTTTAATTGATCAAAGATGTACAACGCTCTTCAATTTTCTACTTTTATGGAGCTGACACTTCGAAATGTTTCTGTGAACACCCAGGAACAAGTTCCCCCGACCAAGTATCAACCTGGGAATGTCGCTCTCCTCAGGATTTGTGCTTCTTATACACAAAACTGCGGTGAAAAAGTCTTTATCATTAAATATGAGTAAATTGGCCATGCTGTGCCAATTCTATGGAAAAAAGGAGGCTTTACAGTAATTTAAAAAATAAGTTTAAGTATATTTAAAGGATATTAATTACAGAGTTATAAATAAGGCATTAAACTTCATTTCATTAGCCCAAGAATATCACTATTTTTATTAACTAAACTATTGAATTTTAATCAATATACTGAACACCACTGAACCCACCACCTAACTCACAAGTCAGAGCTATGACAATTATAAATATGTTCAAATGCTTTACATAAGGAAAGTCTAAACTGTCCTTTTAATGGACCTTTTTTGTGCTGACTACGTAAGTTCAATCCTTTTACGGCACATTCTTGATAATGGCCTAACTCCACTCAATGTATTCATTTCTTAACTCCTTCACCTATTCATTGATTGCACGACTCTTAGGATGGTCTCCCCAGTTGCTTCCTACATGAAGAACAGGCAAAACAATGAAATGGGCAGCGACCCAGAACCACAACACACACGACTAGTGCGACCGTCTACATACACACCACGCAAAAAGAGAAAAGCATGGGTTTTCAAAAATATGGATGTCAGTTGTGCAAAACAGATTAATCATGTAATCATTCTCCTTATTTCATAATAAGGCTCCTCACTAGTATTTGCCTGTCATCTTTTAAACAAAATGTGAATCTATTCATTCACAACAATATGTAATTATGTCATTATTATAATTGTAACTCATTGGACAAAAACTTTGGATGATATTACTGTGTGATCATACAATTAATCATAATTCTTATGACAGGACACGTTCTCATCACTGTCCCATGATTGTTGTTTTTTTCAATCAGATAATTTATTATTTATCCATGCGGTTTTGCCCTTTTCTTATTAAAACAAACCACCAGCAACCCACCATCAACAGGAAATCGCAACATTCAATCTCATGCTTTTCTGTCTATCTGCTTCTGAAATGTTTCAAAACATCCGTTACTGAGCGTGTGACTTCCTTGGTCTCTGTTCATTCATTCTTCCATTTCTTTCCTTACTCATAATTTCATTTATAATTACAAAAAGAAAAGGAGATCCATACCCTCGGGAAGAGGGCAGCATGAACGAGTGTGAGCGAGTGTGACCTGCTGCCTACCTTGCCTCACAGCGAACCCGGCGTCACTCTCTTCCGTGGTCCCGTGTTCTCTGCCCTCAACAAGGAGACAACCTCCATCTTCACCACCGAAGGGACAGCTAAACTCTGGCACTAAACAGAAGCGGCTACTTTGTGGCCCTCAGAAGGATTAATCATGAACCTGGATTCATAACACATTCCCACCAGGATGGGAACTCGCTGTACACAAGTCCATTACTAATGACTCCTGTTTCATGACATTCTCGCATACACAACCCATATGTGATCCTGTCTGTCTTCCTTCCTGTGCACATTTATTTATTCATGACTTCATTCATTCACGTAAATCAATGCAATCCACACCCAGGCACTACTGAGACCCAAGGGCCACCCCGCAATGGGCTTGAAGTTCTGCCTAAACTCTGTTCCCTCAGAGGTCTCTTTCCAACCAACCTCCAAGTTTAGGGTTCAGTGGACGTTCTCGGTTCACACGTCATCGATCCAAGTTCAGCGCGTTTCTTCATCGATACATTCATTCTTTGTTTATTGATTGTTTACGCATTATTTATTATTTCATTCATGGATTACTGATGAAAAATTGACTGCAATGGGTCACAAAAGCCCAAGAAGGGGCTTGAATGGAATGAAAGTATTGTTCAATACTGCAAAGCGCTGATCACAGGCTCCCTGCAGGTGAGCAGTGAGACCTCTTTCAATCGGACCTCAGCGTGGCACGTAGGGATCGATCAGTAACCTCGCTTACCCCCATCCCACGGGCTGTACCGCCCTCTGCTCGCCCACCCACTCGCCTTCCACTTAATTTCTTCCCATTTTATAAATAACACAATCTAGCATCGTACCACATAATCAGGACACTGAGGACATTTTCTCTCTTCCCAGGTGCTCTCTCCCAATGACCGAGCAAGCTAGACCATCCTCAACAGAGAAGTATCTTTAAATGCAGCGCCAAGATGAGGTGGAATATTAGGCAACTCTGAAAATGAATGCGAATCCCTGAGACTCTGTTCCTAATGTGTCTCATTTGTCTGTAACGGACTAACCCAGGGATGCCAGACTCGTTTTCCCCGGGGCCCCATCAGCCTCCCAGTTGCCTCTGAAGGGCTGAATATAACTTCAAGTTTATAACGGTTGAGGAATAGTTACATTTACACAGTCCTAAAATTATTCCGGCCCTTCCAAGGCAACTGCGAGGCAGATGTGGCCCCCGGTGAACATGAGTTTGACATGCCTTGACTAACCTCAATCACTGGCGGGGTGCACACCCCACAAGTGGCCCATATGCGACTTTTTTTGACTTTCCATTTGTGGGGGTCACTCGCTCCTTTGAAACAATTCCACAGGCACCAGAATAGCCCCCTGCAAGCCAAGAACATGAACTCTGTTACTTACATGGGTCCCTCTGCCCCTTTTCCAAAAAAGTGACAGCTAAGGTAAGGTCTCTGTCACCGATAACCGCTGAGTAGATCAGGTGGGTGTGCTGACTCTGTGGAAGGAAAAGGGCAGAGTTTAGAAAAGTGAAGTAGTGTAATTTCTTAGGAGAACCTTGCCCTGCTTTTCCGGCTTCATCCAAAACCTCTGTTTTCATCACAGGCCGTCAGCCGGAGGACGGCCCTCTTTTCATCTGATGTAACTAACACACACCATACGATGACCACAGCAGAATCCCCAACCCAGCAGCCCTGGTGCACTGTGGGGGAAACAGACTGGCACAGCCGCTGTGGGAAACAGCATCGAGTTTCCTCCCCAAATTAAAAATGGAACTGCCTTTTGTCCCAGCAATCCCACTTTCTGGGAATATATCTAAGAACCCCAAAACACCAATTGGAAAGAATATATATACCCCTATGTTCATAGCAGCATTATTCTTTTTTTTACTTTAAAATTTATATTTATTAAGGTAGAAAGACTATAAATCTTATGTAAAGGCTATGCAACATACTGAATTTTTTTTTTATTTTTTTAATTTTTAATTAATTTTATTTAGATATTTTTCAAGTACAGTTTTTTGTCTATTTCTCCCATCCCAAACTCCCCCGCCCCTTGCTCCCCACCTCCCTCCCATTTCCATCCCCCTTAGTTCTCGTCCCTGTATCCTTCCTATTTGTTCCTCCAAATCCCTCCCCCTTTTTTCCCCTTAACTTCCCTTCCTTCTCCCCTCTGGTCACTGTCCCCTTGTTCTCTATTTCAGTGTCTTTGTTTTTTTTTTTTTCCTGCTTGCTTGTTTGTTTTGTTGTTTAGCTTCCTGTTAAAGGTGAGATCATATGGTATTTGTCCTTCAATGCCTGGCCTATTTCACTCAGCATAATGCTTTCCAGTTCCATCCATGTTGTTGCAAAAGGTAGTAGCTCCTTCTTTCTCTCTGCAGCATAGAATTTCATTGTGTATATGTACCACCATTTTTTGATCCATTCATTTACTGATGGGCACCTAGGTTGCTTCCAACTCTTGGCTATTGTAAATTGTGCTGCTATGAACATTGTGGTGCATAGGTTCTTTGATACTGATGTTTTAGGATTCTTAGGATATAATCCCAGCAGTGGAATTGCTGGGCCAAAAGGCAAGTCGATTTTTATTTTTCTGAGAAAATTCCATACTGTTTTCCATAATGGTTGTACCAGTCTGCAATCCCATCAACAGTGGACTAAGGACCCCTTTTCCTCACAACCTCTCCAACATTTGTTCTTTGTTGCTTTGTTTATGATAGCCATCCTGACCGATGTAAAGTGGTATCTCACTGTGGTTTTAATTTGCATCTCTCTGATAGCTAACGATATTGAGCATCTCTTCATGTGTCTCTGAATGTTCTGTATGTCCTTCTTGGAGAAGTGTTTGTTCAAGTCCTTTTCCCATTTTTTAATTGGGTTGGGTGTCTTCTTAGAGTGAAGTTGTGTAAGTTCTTTCATAGCAGCATTATTTATAATAGCCAGAATCTGGAAGCAGCCCAGTGCCCATCAATGTGAGGGTTTAAAAAAAGCTGTGGTACATCTACACAGTGGAATACTATATACCCATGAAAAATAAGGATCAGCCAAAGAACATGTTTCCCTTTTCTTCACAAAATTAGCAACCACCAACCCAGAAACAACAGTGAGTCTTACATATATCTGCCCATGTTTCTGATCAACCTGGTAAAAGCCCTGGACTGTTCACTATTAGAACTCAGCTCCTCAGGAACCACTTAATGACAACTTCCAGTACCTCATCACACACTCTCATAACTGGTAAACACCTAGCTCTGTGTCTTTATTCACTGATAGGCTTCTTTATTTACCCAAGTACTAATTCACTGCTAAAAGAACTCACACCTAAGATGGACAAAAGCCAAGAGCAAGATGTCTTATCCCTAACTTCAGCTACAATCTCATGACATGAGACCGCATAACTGCCCAGCCAAAGATTTAAGAATACTAACTATTACACACATTTTCTTTGCATACTTTATTCACCCAAATAAGTCAAAATCCTCAGGAATGCTGACTGGTTACATGGACTGCTGCGAGCCCACTGTGCACAACAGAAAAGCCCCCGCCACAAAGGACGCCCCGACCGCGGTCCGTGACCCTCGGACCGTGACCCTCGGACCGTGGTCCGAAAAAGGAACCGACCGCTTTAGTTTATGAAACACTGTTCTCACTGATCTACACTTAGGCCTTTTTCATTTTATTTTTCCCTTTACAAAAGTCATAAAAGAGTACCTTATGCAGCCAATAGAAAATTACCAATACCTGTCTACTGTAATTCAAACAATTAAAATAAAAAAGAAAACGAGTGATACCTCATGTCTGGAGCCTCTCTCTGGCTAATTCAACAACCCGAACTTCACCCATGGGAAGTGCTATAAAACATGGTATATCAAACAAATAACATACCACAGACACTTGTTCTCACGTCCCTCGAATCTGCAGAGCTGTGCAATCAGAAACCCATGTCAGGGTTCACGGTCTTCGTCAGTGCGCGCTTGACCGTCTTTGAGTTACGGGTGCATCTGCTTGCTTTTAATGAACCAATAAACCTACACGACTCTACCACTCAACCCAAGAACAGGTAACGATTATATTTATGTGAACAGATACATGTTACACATACAACACGGTTATCCACGTACACCATATAAAATTAACATAATTACATATGTATAAAATTTCTTTTTCTTGGCTCATTCCCTACATCGAGGACAGCTCATTTACTCATTTCTAACTTGGTAACAGTTATGCCCCATGAGCTGTGTGTCCCCCTTGGTTCCTGACAGTCTCGTCAGCACAGAGAGAGGTCTCCGCGTGGTCACCTGTGCCCACTTGTGTTTAATACTGCACACGTACCCGTCATCCAGCCGCCTGATCGTCCCTCGCAGTGGCAGTCCATGGCTCATCTCCACAGAGTTCCCAGCCAAGACCGTTGTCCCTAGCCACGCCCTGGGGCCTCCATTCTGTGGAACATAGAGCAGACCTTTTAGGACAGAACAAAGTAGGTGCTTTTAAAGGCCACCGGGGGTGTGGCACAGGATGGATCAGTCTTTGAATCACGACTCAGCCTCCCTGCTGGCACAGGCGTAACCCTCACAGCAGAGACTCTCGTCTAATAAGTTCATTATTACAGTAAACAGGCACAAATCCACCGCCCTAATCCAAAACGAGACGGCGGTGGTTACAAACACCTGTCCTGTAGACAACAGCCTGACGGGCAGGTGTAGTAACAACAATCTTTGACTGCATGTATAATCTCATTTTGGTTCCTCGTCCTTTCCATCGCTGTTACTTACTTTTTCCGTACAAGAGCCACCTGTGGCCTCAGCACTGACCCAGAACAGAAGCATCAGCGTGCACGTCTACCCCGCTGCGCCTCATGCACGGCAGCGAGAGCTGGCTTCGTCCTGTGCTGGGAGTGGTCCACCGCCACACCTGCACGGCTTCACCCTAATAGTAACACAGTATCTTTGGTGGGCCACTCTTAGCCCTCTTTTACTCTGTCGTTATTTTACGGCTCACCTAATTTACTCAAAGGACACACTAAGCCCAAGCTGGACGGCCTGCGCCCACGATCCCAACGGCCTGGCTCTCGCACAAGGTCACTCACAGCCTTGTTAAAAGTCCGTCCTCATCACTGGCCCACGCCTGGCCCTCTGTTGTTTTGTTCACGTGTGTGTGCATTTCTAAGGATTCTGTGAACTCCCGTGAAGCCCATTCACACCTGTCTACAGTGTCCTTCCCCACAGTGGAGGGACCCCGGGGTGCCCCTTCCGTGGGTCACGAAGCCCACGAAAAGGAAGAAAACAGCATAGATTCTTCTTGTCTGTCAAGGTCAGGGTAGCAGGCTCGGACTGACCATGATCTGTTGTCCGGAACACGCTCTCCCAGTTGCTCTATTCAAGGCCTGTATTACATGATCTCTTCATTTTTAACAGTAAAGTTAACAAACACAGACCACTCGGTCTTTCTTTCTGTCCCTTGATTGTGGACAATTAAGCACCACCCCTGGCCCCAGGACCTGCTGTCCTCGTCCTTCCTGGCATTGCCCTCTCTCATTGTATCACTGACGCAAACCAGGACACTAACCGGGCATGACCCCCACCTCCTGGTACCCCCTCAAACCCCCTTGTTGACCTCTACCCCAAATAACCCCCCAAAACCTCCTGTATACCCTCCCCTTTCCTTTTTATACATAGAAAACTGTATCACATATATGTATCCTTAAAAATATTAATATTTTCATGGTCCGGTGGCTTCCTCAGCCTCTGTTAAAGAGGTCACTAAGAACAAGTGACTGACTTCGGGGCACATCCCCCAGGGTGCGGTAGGAGGCCTCTACCCCAGCCCCTCGGACTCCACACCTGGGCTCGCCATGCACACAAGGCCGCATTGCCCACGATCAGAGCACCTGCATGTGCACCGCACACCTGCCTCCAGACCCACTCTCCAATCCCACCCTGCTGGTGACATCAGGACAGGGAGCTGCCCCCTGTGGGCCCATCTCCCCATTGCAGGAGAGTCACAGCCCCAGTCCCCACGCAAAATGCACTGTAACTGCGCCACAGTCAGCCAGGTGATGCCCGTGCGCCAGTCTTTGTCCCCTGTGCAGCGGTGCCCGAGCCGTGTGCTGGACAGACAGACAGACCAGGTTCCACCCCAGCAGGCACTCACGAGCTGTGCACTGCGGAGACGTGACCTGGCCTCTCTGTCCTGAGCCCCGGCTGGTGCCGTCTGTAGGCCGAGGACGGCAGCCCCTCGAGGCTCCGCCACGAGGGCGGACCGCACCATGGACCGTCGCTGAGACCGCCTGGGCCCACACCGCCCACCCCACGGGTCACACAGCCCCCCGACCGGTCACAAACGAATGAGGTTTTCGGGCAGGAGGGGCCTCAGGCAGGAAATGGTTGGGTCCATTCGGGCTTGGACCTGGCATCCAAGCTCAAACCCATGCCCTGGGAAGGAGTGGCCCAAGCAAGGGTTCGTGTGCAGTAGGGGCCACCCCCAGGACCGTGTACGCCATGAGACCCTGGATGTTCAGACAGCTTCCCAGAAACCAAAGGGGCCTCTGCTCTGACCCTTGACCCTCCTCCCTCCCCGGCCAGCCCGGCGGGTGTCCGGCACACCCACGCCGGAGCGGCCGAGACACGAAGAATAAAAGACATAACTGTGACACAAAACACAGATTACATATGTGTGTATAGTATGATGTATTCACATCCACCTGGGGGTTTTCAAAAAGCAGTCATGGAAAGAGCCCTTGGCCTGGGACCCAGGACGTGACTCCTGGCCCCGCCTACACCCCCAGCAGGGCGCCGTCCCCATCTGAGCCTCAGGTGGCAGCAATCCACCGGCCTTCCCTCCCTCCCAGGTGGCACGAAAATGAAAGGCATCAAGTTTAAGTGCAAGTTCTCCCTCGGCAGCAGCAGATCATTAGCGCAGTAGCTCCTGGCCCCAGCAGGCCATGTTCGCAGCATGCCTTAGCATACATTATCCCGCGTGATCCTCCCCATAGCAGTCCTGTGAATTAGACGTAATAATCATAATTAGCCAATATTTATTGAATGCACACTCTCCGCCAGGCACCCCGCTGCCTGCCCTGCAAACTCGACAGCCCTCTGGGGTGGGTGCCCTTCAACAGCATCTCTTGTTTCTCTGCCCCCCACACACTAAAAAATCTGGAGTGTGCGTTTGGTGCCAGGCGCTGGTCTAGGACGAAACAGACGAAACTCACAGAAACGAGCACCGCGCGCGGAGTAAAGGTGGCAGTGGGGACAACCACTAACTGTTAGATGGCACCGGCTTATACTGGGTGAGTCCACTTCCACGCAGAATTTTTTTCCCAAAATACTATAAATGTATTTTCTCTTCCTTACGACTTCTTAATAACACTTCCTTTTCTCCAGCTCACTTCGTCATAGTAATGCAGTGTGTGAAATGCACATCACATACCAGGTATGTGTTAACAAGCCACTGAGCAAATCTGTGAGGCTACTGGTCAGCAGTAGGCTATGAGTACTTAAGATGTGGGGGAGCCAGAAGCTACACACAGATTTTTCACTGTGTTGGGGTCAGCACCCCAAGCCCCGTGTTATCCAAGAGTCAACCGGATGAAGAAAAACAGATGAGGAAAGGGAGGGAAAGAAATAACAAAGAGAAAGCTGCACTGAACAGAGATTCTCAGCCCCATTTTACACGTGGGAAGACTGAGCCTCAGAGAAGCAAAGTGACTCACAAGTGGTCACACAGCTAGGAAGGGGCTGACCCACAGATGGATGTGGGGGGTCTGGCTCTAGAGTCTGCCTCTCCCCCCACCCCCGGCCTCCCACCTGAGCCCCAGTGCACCTGCAGCTCCTGCTGTCTGACGCCCGGGCAGCCTGCAAGGGGTGTCTGGGAGTGCGGGGAAGGAGCACAGGAGGGCCCATCTGACCCTCCAAAGAGCAAGCAAAGACATGTCTGTAAGTTGGGTAACAGCCGCCCCCAGAAGGCAGGAGCCACGGGGTTGAGCCCAGACAATGGAACTGCCCCTGCCCCCCTGCCCTGCCGCTCTCGGTGTGCTCCTTCGGGGCCGCGGCACCTGCTCCGGGCTCACTCTTTTGTTTGCTGGCCGTGACCCCTTGGTGTGTGGAATTCCCAGACTAGAGCGGAAATCCTCTAGTCTTCAATTCCACTGGCACTTGTATTTCACCACCTCCCTCTCCAAAGGCAGAAACGCACACCTGAGTACCTGCCTGGCACAGTGTCACGGGTGGGTGGTGCTCGCTCCCAGTCGGAGAGGCCAGGTGCCCCCATGAGAGAACAGTTGGAACAATTGTAACTTTCGCCGTAATGAAATGTTTGTGCGCTCACCCTCCGGAAAGCATGGTTTTAAGCACTTTAAATGTTGGCAGTCACATCACCTTCAAGGACCCCTTAATAAGGTACTACTGATATCCCCATTTTACAGCTGAGGAAACTGAGGCACGGAGATGAACTACCTGCTCTGAGCTCACAGAACAGCAAAGGCCAGAGTTGGGATCGAAACCCGTCTGGGGTGCAGGTAACAGGGGCTCAGCCTGTCAGCAGAGCACAGAGAAGGGGCCTGCTGAACTGAAGGCGATCTTTGGGGTGGGGGGCTCGCTGGCCTGCGCTCTCCCCTGTGCGGAACTCCTCCCTCCCTGCCTGGGACCCCTCCAGGCTCTAGACGAATTTCCTCCTCTGGCCCCCTGCACCTTCCATCCCAACATCAGCCACCGGCATGCTAGTGACACCTGACCAGTGGTTCTGCAGGACCCCAGAGACAAGCCTGACCCTCGCTATGAGTGATCTTGACAACCAGGATGAGTGACAGAAAGTGTCACCAGAGGAGTAAATTCAGAGGCCAGGGGATAAGAAGTCCCGCTCCCTGACAGGCCAGAGGGCTGCGTCTAGCACGGGGGGACCCTAAGGAGTACCCATTTTTTTCAGGCATGATCTAGAAAACAAGAAAATGGGGGGTGTTTGGGTTTGAAAATAAAGCAAACTCGGGCTCCAGTCCCGATTCCGTGTGTGCTCCCTGTACGGTTTGGGGCGAGTCTCTCGTCATCCCTAATGCCGAGGCTCCTTTTATCTGAATGCAGGACGGTAATTGTTATCACGGGGGTTGGCCGCGCTGATTGAGAAGAGGCACAATTATGCCTAGTGGCTAGAAAAGGCCCAGGCACGTGGTGGGGTCAGGGGATACTCCCCCACCCAGGAGAGCCAGGGGAGGGGGGCCGCCTGCTGTCTCTCCGTGTTCGTGAAAGCAGCGGGGACTGAGAGCTGACGCAGATCAGCTCCAGAACCACAGCAGGGACCTGGTCCCTGAGGACGGGCAGCCCACCTGTTGTCCCAGAGCCACCTGAGCCGGCCAGTGCGCTCGGAGGCAGAGCAGACGGCAGGAGCTGCACCAGCGAGCGCTTCCCCGGGACGACCTCAGTGCTCCGAACCAGGAAGCCTTCGGTCTGGGTGAGACACTGACCCTACCTCTCCTCCATCCATCCACCCCTCCGTCCATCCATCACACCTCATGTCCCTCCTCCCCCCTCTCTGGTGTGCTCAGGAGTCAGGCAAACCTGGGCTGGAATCCTGGGTCCCGCTTCCTAGCTGACCTCGGACCAGTCACTGACCTCTCAGAATCCTCTGGTCCGTGAAGTAGAGGGAAACGAGAAGGGGCTGAGCGAGGATTTAAAGAGGACGCAGACATACCAGCGTCTGGCCTGAGCGACTGGCCATCAGCTGTCCTTTCCCTCTGCTTCAGCATCAGGCTGCCCTGTGTGCGGGGGCAGGACCGGGGCCACCTGCGTGACATTGAGAAACACTTTTAAAACAGGATCTGCATTGCGGGAGCACTGGGCAGCCCCCTGCCGCACCTGGGGAGGGGCGGTGGCCACAGCACTTTGGGGTAGTGGTCCCTCCTGGACTCCCAGCAGAGGGTGCCATCTAGTGGACTGGCAACAGGTGGGGTCCCGCAGCAGGGACAAGGGGGGCTGCCCTGGGTCACAGCAGCTGCTGCGAGCCAGCCACCCGGGAGGTCGCCGCCGCCGCGGGGGCTGCAGGCTGCCCTGGCCGGGAGGCAGTCCAGGACCATCCTAATGACCCCGGGGGTGGCCTGCCTGGCGGGTGAAACCCAGCTCGGTCCTGCCTCCCCGACCCAGCCCGGTTAGAGGTTTCCGGGGAGGGAGGGCAGCTCCGGCAGCTCCCGTTCACCGAGGGTCTGTGGTGTGTCAGATGCAGGGCCGGGGACTTCACAGGGGACCCTGCTGGTGCTCACAATGGCTCTAGACAAGACCTGACATTAGTGCCGTCTTCTGTGAGGAAACTGGAAGCCACTGAGGGTGGGTTTACTCGAAGACCCCAGAATCTGTAGCCACACTCACCTCTGTGTGCCCAGGGCCCCTCGGGCGTACAGGGAAGACTTGGACAAGCCAACTGGAAAAGAAATTAAGGAGTCAATCGGGGCCATTTGAAAGCTGGGTAAATGTTCGGTGACATTAAGGAAATGCTGTTAATTTTTTAACTGTGATAATGACATTATGGTTATGTTTTTAAAAAAGAAAACAGTTCTCTGTTTTTAGAGATAGATACTGAGAAATGCTCAAAGCAAACAACATGGAGCTTCAACAGTGCCCAGGGTGGGGGCAGGGGGGCCGGGGCTGGTGGTGGGGGGCAGGGATTCAGATGGAACAGGACAGTGATCATAGCTGGGTGGTGGGGACGTGGACGTTGCGCAACTCGGGATGGAAATGCGCACTACTTCTACACTTCTGTGCTGTTTCACGCGCTTCACCATTAGAGGATTTGAAAGTAAACAAGTCAAAATAAATGCGGGACAGGAGGCAGTGGAGAGGGACCCAGGGTCTCAGCTGATGTCGGCAGAACTGGGAACAATATCTCCAAGTGAGGAGGGGACCAGGGGGGGCCGGCAGAGGGGACCGGGGTGCCCAGGCCCTTCCTTCCTCCCTCAGGCCCTCCTGCCCTCGCAGACCCTCCAGGGCCCTCCGTGGCCCCTCTGCCTGCGTCCCCACGCCATCCTGTGCTCCCCCCACCTTTCTCCCTGCCGGGGCCTCCCGCACCCCCCAGGCCTTTCTACTCCTCTCGCCCCGCACCCACTGGGCCTCCAGCCCCTTCCTGTCCCCTGCAAGCCCTTCGCTGGCTCTCCCGGCCGAGAGCACCTCCCTTCCCCAGGGCAGGGCTTGGGGACCCTCCCCGAGACCAGTGGAGCCAGGCTGGGGAGGGCTCGGCTGTACAGTTTTCAAATACTTTTTCGCTTTTGGGGGAACATAGGAGTCTGTGCTTTTCATGTAAAACGGTGTTTTTCCCTTAAAACGGTGTGCACCCCGCTGCCCTGACTACCCCCACTCCCTCGCTCCCCCCCCTCAGCCTCCCTCTGTCCTGCCCGGTCCTGCGGCTGCAAACTGACTCACCCTGGGCCCCAGGTCCACAGCACTCTCCCCACCCCCGCCCCCCGGGACCACCACACCCTCCTCCTCGCCCCCTTCCTGGCCCTTTGGCAGCTGCTAGACCCTCGGCACCCTGGTTTCCTGGACTCCCCCAACACCCCTCACTTCCCACTCTGGGAGACCGGCCGCCAAACAGCTCCGGGACCCTCCGGCAGCGGGCTGCATTGCAGCGCGGCTCTGCGAGGGAGGGGCGCAGCCCCGCAGCCACCCCAGGCAAAGCGGCCGCCCCTCCTGGGGCCCCCAGCCCAGGGCAGCTGGCCCCCCGCACGCTTCTGACGCAGTTGAAAGCGCCACTACAAAAGTGAAAAACGCCGGTCCCTCCTGCCTGTCTCCCCCTCCTCACTTTCCGGGCTTAAAACGTGGCCCAGGCAGCCCCCTTGTGGCACTTGGGGGCGCCACAGACTCTTTGGCTGGCACCTGGAGAGTTCAGACCGTCTGCTTCCACTGCACCGTGAGTTGGCACAAATCCTAAATGACCCAAGCCTGCCTGGTCGGGGGCAGCGGGTCCCTCCCCCCTTCCCCAGTCCACATGTCCCCCCCTGTCTGCCTCTTTCCCTCCCACCCTGTCTCTGCTGCACTGGGACTCCCGTGCGGCGTGGCTGACAAGCAGACAGGTGTCTGGAGGCTGCAGCAGTGGGAAGGGGCGGGAGAGGGGCTAGTGAGGACCGGGGCTCTCCCTGCAATGACGTGCCTTCTATCCTTGCCTCCCAGAAGGGGAAACTGAGGGGCCTCGGCTCAGAGGGGCTCTCTGCATCGGAGAGGGGCTCTCTGCATCGGAGAAGGGGCTGGGACTCCCCCCAAGAGTGGGTTCTCTCGTGGCTCGCTTCCCTGTGGTGAGGGGCTGCACTGCAGATGGTCCCCCCCCTGCCTGGACCCAGTCCTCAGCCCCTCCACAGCCAGCTCTCCCCAGGAGGAGCTCCAGGCCCCCCGCCCTGCTCCGTCCTCTCTGACTCACTGTCCACACACACGAGCCCCAGCCCCTCCCTCTCTGCCTGCAATCTGCGTGGAGGTGGGCAGGGCCCTCTGCACATCAGGTTAATAATGCCATTTTCATAAGCCTCTGCCCATAGGTGCTACCACCTAATTTTAAATCTGCCCTTCAAACGGATTGGGCCACAGAGGAGCTGGGATCTCAAGCACCGCTGGGAGGTGCTTAGCACTAATCAATCCATCCCCTGCCCACCCACACCCCCCCCCCACCAGCCCTCAGCACAGCCTCACTGAGCAGTCTTCAGCAGCAGGGTGTGGTGGGGAGCCTCGGACTCACTGGGGTTCCAGTCCCACTCGGCCTCACACCAGCTGAGAGACAGTGAGTACGGGACTTCCCCGCTCTGTGCCTCAGTTTCTCCATCAGTCCAATGGGGGTTTGAGGCTGCTGCTGACTTTCTGCCAGGGAGAGTCCTACGCAGACAGCCCAGCTCAGCCCTCGGCCCCCATCTCGGGCTCTGTAAGTCTCAGATGCCAGCACCCCCTTTGATCCCTCGATTTACCGTGACTCACTCCCTGTCTCTTCCCCCACCAGACTGAGCTTCGAGGACGGGAAGCCGGCCGGCATCCAGCCTCCAGCCTTCGTGTCCAGTTTCCCACTCGGGTCTGGGCCCGGCAAGGTAGGTGCACTATGGTGGCTGGGGGTTAACGGCATGGGTGGGCGACGGTAGCCCATAGCCTGTGAGATGCCTGGACCCCCGCAGGCTCCTCTCCCTCTAGCGCCCCCTGTCTGCCCTGGCCATTCTAGGAAGCTGCAAGGAAAGTTGTTTCTTTACGCCTCACCCCCCGGCCACTCGGGCTGCTATATACAATGGAAGTTCTTGCTTTATTAAACACAGATGTGGGTTTACATGTCATTTCTACCACGTACTGCATCCGCTGTGAGCTCACAGGCCCAGGGCGGCCTCTGGCTGATTTGTTGTGTGCGGTAAAGCCGGCAGAGGGGTCTGCGCCATGCCCAGGGCCCCCTTTGCATCCGGAGAGGGGTCTGGAAAAAGCCAGACCGGTTTCTTTCTGGTGACACTTTTTCCATGCGTGCCTCCCTCCCTGAGTCCCTGCGGCTCCTCTACAAGCAGTGGAGAAGCGTCTGATGTGAGCTAGGCTCACTTCGAGTTGGTGGGGAGCCCCGCTCGCCCCCTTCCCAGAGGAAAACCCGACGCTCAGAAGCGGGAAGGGGTTTGCCATGGCCGCCGCTAGAGACTGGGAGTGGGGGTGGGTCTGCCTGGCTCCGGAGGCCCCCAGCCCCGAGGCAGCTGCTAGCTGGTGCCGGCTCTGTCGCCGCTGCAGGGGCCGCGGGCTGACCAGGGGCGCCAGCCGCTCCGGCAGAAAACTCAGGAGTTTTGCATACAGAGCATTCTCCCTGGCAACTGGCAAAGGGGCCAGAAAAAAAAAAAAAAAAAACCGAGAGGGCTCTGAAACCGCTTCAGAGAGAGATCCAGAGCCGCTGGACCCGGGCAGGGAGACCCGCGCCCTCCCCTGGGCTCTCTGCAGAACAGCAGGGCAAAGGGCGCCGTCCCAGCTCCCGATCTTCAGGGGCAGAGGCGCCGGCACAGGTGTAGACAGTCGCGGTCCGGATGGGGATGGGGACGGGACCCGATGTTGACCCTTGACGCAGGGCTGGCTTTACCGCACGGAAAGGAGAGAACTGAGAGGGAGCCAGCTGCCTGCAAAGAGCGGGGGGCAGAGGGGGCGAGGGGGCTGCGAGAGCCACGGAGGCAGATGCAGAAAGCAGGGGAGGGCTCAGGAAAGCGGCGGCGTGCGAGTCCCGCGCGGGCTGCTCGGGGAGAGAGGGAGCTCCCTGTTACGGGAGGCATCCGAGCAGAGAGCGGCAGGCCGGTTCTTGGCCGGGAGGCTGCAGCGCGGCTCCCTGCCCGGGCTGGCAGCCTGCACGTCTAGGCCTTTGAGCAGCTCCTACGGAGCTAAGTCCCAAGCGAGTGAGCGAGCAGAGCTAGCGAGAGAGCGGGGCTGGCCGCGGCGAGGCAGGCTGGGGTCAGAGCAAGGATGCCCGGACTTTCCCGTGTACCTTGCCCTGAGCTGAATGGCAAAGACACCGATGGCTGGTGGAGCGCTTCAGTCACAATGAGGCAGTGAGGGAGAGGAGCGGAGAATGGGGGTGAGTGCTTGGGGCCAGCAGGGGGGAGGTGGAGGGCTGTCCTGCAGCCAACTCCCCATCTCAAGGGCTGAGCCACCTGGAGAGGCCAAGTGCCTGCCCTGGCTCCCAGGCCCAGAAAGGCTGGCCTGGGTCTCTTCTGGGGTGAGGCTGGTGTAGACAGAGGGTGGGGGCAGCCTTCCAGGGGGCACACAGCAGGAAGCGGGGGTCTCCTGAGTGGAAGGGCCAGCCAGTTATGAAAAAAAAAAGGGCCCTTCCCTGGAGACTGGGCCACAGCCACCAGCCCAGCCAGTCGCTGGACTGTGAGGTGGATGCTCCAGGGACTCCTGAAAGCCCCCGAGTGGGGCCAGGCCGAGGGTCCTGCCTGGTAACGAATGAGGCTGCTCTGGAGTTGGGTGCTGGCTCTCCAGTCCCGTTCATGGGAACTCAGTTCCCAGGAACTTGGGGTGGACTGGGCCTTTATCAGGGGACCCCCGCTAGATGAGGCTCTGTTCTGCAGTTTTTAAAGGAGTTTTCTCGTCTTTGTTCCCAGTGCAGACACCCAGCATGTGTGTGTGAGTGTGTGTGTGTGTGTGTGTGTGTGTGTGTGTGTGTGTGTGTGAGAGAGAGAGAGAGAGAGAGAGAGAGAGACAGGCTGGCTGAGGGGCCAGCATTCCTGGCCCCCGTCATAAGCAGGCTGCTCACCCTCAGGGCTGAGAGGTGCCTCTGAGCCCCTCCCTAAGGTAGAAAGACTCAGGAAGGTCAGGGGCACCAGGGACAGAGCCCCTTGCCACTGCTGCCTAATTGCCCTGCTCCTGATAACGGGAGCTGCGGGGGCGCTGCCAGCCTCGGGGTCCCAACAGCTGCTCCGGGCCGCCGTGGGGGGGCAGCATCGTGTTGCAGGTGGAAGTGCAGGCTGGCTCCCTGCAGACAGACAGACAGACAGACAGACTGCCACCCCGCTTAGGTGCTGCTTGGGAGAGCATTTGTTTCTCAGAATCTAGTGTTGTTGTTTTTCATCATTGTTGTTGTTTCAATTGATTAAAACACTAAAATTGTGAAAATGTTTGGCAAAGTGGTGTTTACATGCGTGCTGCAGCCTCTGCGGCACTACCTGGGGGTGCGGAAGAAGCTGCGCACACGGTAAATCATACAAAGAAAATGTGTTTCTGGTTGGGGAAGCTGGTGGCTTAGGAGAGGACGCAGAATGGACTAGGGTGAATATGGAAATGTCGGCCGCCCTCGTCCCTCACCAGCCAGAGGCCACAGGATAGCGAAACCTTCGGCCCTGACCCGCAGGCTGGCTGGGGAGGGGCTCCTGGACGAGGGTGCACTGTACCAGCCTCATGTCCCAGTCGGTCCCCACGCTCCAGACACACACAGCCAGCCTCCCTCATCCTAATGGGAGAAGCCAGGATAGAGAGTTTGGGCTTGAAGCTGGGGCCACAGGGGTACACGCGGCTCAGGGCCACGCGGCAAACAGCTGCGGCAAAAAGAGCCCGGAGCCCGCACTGCAGAGTAAATAAGCCCAAAACTCAGGAGAGAGGGGCCTTTGTGCGCAGCTGCCGAGGACGGTCACTTCTGTGCGAAAGGCGACATGCAAGCCCGCTCCCCAGGGGCACGCTGGCTGAGGCACAAAACCCTCATTTAGGCCCCCCGCCCCGGGGGCCGTTTCTGTGAAACTGAGCCCCAGTCGGGTTTAGCCAGAAGTTCTTCCAGGAATGAGGAACCTCTGGGGACTGGAACCCCCGTTCCTCCGAGCCAAGCCCTCCAAAGTCTGTAAAGTCCGAGCCTAAAAAATCTGCCAAAGAGAGCAGCCTGACATTTTATATACATTTAAAAAATTAAATAAACGGTCGCCAAACTTTTTAGGAGAGCCCAGTTCAAGCTGGTGGGGCAGCCCCTTCGAGGGCCCTCCAGTGTTGGGGAAAGGCCGGCCTCTCCCTTGGGGGCTGCGCTGGAGCAGGGGCACAGAGTCTTCCCCTGGGGGGCTCCAAGAGGAGCCACCCGTCTCAGGAGGGAGGGTCGAGCGTTTCAGGAGGACATGAGACAGGCAGGGCTACCGCTCCTGCGCTGGGTGACTCCTGGGTGGCATTTTTTCTTGGAACCCACAGGAGAATAGGGTTCCTTTTTTTATTAGCAGGAAACTGAGGCACAGAACATCTTGGGGTCTTTAAAAGATGCACGGCTCTACGTCCGCTCTGTGGCGGGTTTGTGTTTAAGATGGCCGGCCTCTCAGGTGCCCTTACCCCAGGGATAGAAAAGGGACCAAAACCTTGAACACATGAGTGACTTCTGCTCCCCCCAAGGGCAGGTAAACCCTGTACCCCCAGGGTGAGGGGCCTTGGCATCCTCACCCTCTACCTCAAACCCTGTGTTCTTTCTAGAACATGCCACCGTTGCTTAGGTTGCAAGCACCACACCACTCCCAACCATGTCCTCTCCCCAAGCCTGTCACCAACACCCCAGCTAGTGGCCCTGCTGTCACATGCTGGGACTTGCTTCGTTGTCATGTTCTGGGACCAGCTCACCTCCCTATGGCAAGGAGCAGACCACCAAAGACACCATCAACCACTTCCCAGCTGTAATATGGCCCCGAAAACCCATCACTGGCACTCATAACCCTGAGAGGCTGGACCCCAGACTCCGAGTTTCGGGGTACCACACACGCAGCTGCCGGCAGACACGGAGGGACTCTGGTGTGTGCACTTGAGAGGGCGGGACAGGGTCGTGGGGCGCCCGCCTGGGCCTCCCCGGGTGTGTGTTCACAGTGTGATAATAGTGTTCTGAGGACTCACCGGGGGCCGCAGTGCAAACAGCTCCCCTCCAGCACGGCCCATCGGCCCCAGGCAGATGAGGAGGTGGTCTTCCATGACGGGGAGTCAGATCCAGGCAAGACAGGGCACCGGGGGTCCTGGAAAGGGACAATGGAGAGGGGCCAGTGAACAGATGGCCAGTGTCATGGATTCTAGAAAAATGCAGGACGCTGTCTGGGACTAGGAAGACATGTCACGCAGAGTCACAATTCAGGGACTGAGCTTTGCTGAACTCTGCACAGGGTTTTGGGGGGAAGCCTCTGTGCTTTGGGTATGAAGGCTGAGGAGAGGGGCACAGAGAGGGGCTGGGAGCTGAGGGCGAGCCACGGAGCCGGGGACTGGTCAGAGAAGGGCATGAGGAGGTAGGGGCTTCCGGCCAGACCCTGAAGGGTCCTACGTGCCGAGCTAAGCTCTTGGCCCACGTCCCAGACGCCACGGGAAGTCAGATGAAAGATTTAAAGCAAGATAGTGATGAGGTCAAAACAGCATTTTAGAAAAATCACTCAGTGAAAATAAAGTTTGCAAACTGGTTAACGCAACGATCTCGGCTCCAGGACTCGGGTTAAAGGGACAGTGTCCACAGGTGACAGCCAGCCTGTCACCGCAGGGGCATTACCAGTGACAAAACACGGGACCCCCTTATTAGATCTTCCTGAGTGGGCAACAGGGAGGCAGAATTATATTAATTAAAACCCTGGTTCGTGACAGGCCCCCGTCATAAATCTAGGGCAGGGACACTAATGTTTTATGGATTCACGTGTATCTGTTTTCTTACATAACAAGCAGCCATGAACCTGGTGGCTGCCCCAACGGCGGGGACTTTTTGACCAAAGCTTCTACTGCACACACACGCCACCCCCAGCACACACACAGAAAGTGGGGGGATTTTCCGCAGGAGAGGAGGGGCTGGGCTCTTAGAAAGAACAGCAGAGCGGACGACGGTCCTCCAACGGACGTCAGTGTTTCACTCAGAACTGGATTAATCATGACCTTTTGTTCACAAACACTTCCTCGTCCCCGGCCCAGGCGCGTCCCTGCTCTATTGTGCTAATTTATGCACTCACGTATTCATCTGCAATAATGCCTTACACACTCGGGGGGCCCCTCCTCCAAGCCAGACCTCAGCAATTACTTACACCTGCCTCCGCCATCCGTCCCCTCGGGGGGGAGAAGCCGGGGCCTACGTGACAGCAGGGAGGAGGCGGTTAACCCAACTTGGGGGCATGCGGACGCCAGTGTCCTCTTGAGGGACAATGCGGACCCTCCCCAGGCAGATTCCTTGAAGAAGCTGCACAAAAAAGAAATGTACACAATGACACAGTTACTGCAAAAATAAGCAGAATCGTACACTTTAGAGGTCTGTGTCTATACATATGCAAATGCCCAGGAAAAAAAAGTCTGAGACCATAACCCTGAAGCCCGTAATTGGAGTTAATATGTGGAGGTGGGAGGGGCTGGGACAGGAGGAGGAGTGGGTTGAGGCTGGCTTTGGCTTTTATCGGCAGTGTTTGATTTTTCGTAATGAGTGTATTAATTACCGATGCGTTTCTCGCACCATTAAAAATAAACATTTGCAAGTGGGTTTTTTTTTTTTTGCTGTTGTTTTGCACAAACACTAAAAGTACGTTTTGGCTGATGGAGCAGGAATGGACACACCCCCAGAACAAGTCCTGCAGACATGGGGGGTTGATGTGGTCCCCAAGATTGCTCCCGTCTTCATGTCACACGTTCTGAAGCTGGGGCCCGGGGGGCCCCTGAGCGGCACGTCAGTGACAGGAGGCCAGCAGGTGCGCGGCTGCAGGCTCTGCTCTCACCACCCGCGGGCCCCCCACCCGGCAGAGCTGCCTGCAGTATCTGCAATGCGCCCGTCAGGGAGCACTTTTCCCTTTTCGGTCTTTAGGGAGAGGCCCCGAAAGCTAATGTGCTGGCTTGAACCCTCAGGAATTAGCTGATGGGACAAGGACGGGACATGAGATGGGCCTGGGGGAGCGGGACACAGGCGTCCAGGGAACAGCAGCCACACAGCTCCTGGGCCGTGCTGGGCCCCAACAGCTCCGACCCCGGGCAGAACGCACAGCAGCCCCGGTTCCCCCCAGTTCTGACCAGGAGGCCACGTGGCAGAGGTGTTCCGAACCTCTCCACTCTGAGACAGGGGAGCAGCCTCGCAGGCCTCCACCGGCCCCCTCATGCCCAGGGCAGCACATGGAGGTGCCCACCTCCCCTCAGAGCCCACCGGCACCCCCTCTGGCTGCCTCAGGGGTCAGAACCCTAGATGAGCACATGCCAAGCCCACTGTCACCTACAGATAAGACACCACGTGAGGCTCAGGGACCCAAGGACACTTACACAAGGCCCGCTCCGAGCCCAGAGGAGCCCGCACCCCCCCCCCCATCCCTGCATCGGCACAGAGCAACCCACTGGCTAATTGGTTAGAATGTCTCCTCCCACTAGGCTAACGCAGAGGGGGCCCTTCTAAAACTTTTCTCCCCTCTGCTGGCAGGCACCTGTTTTCCACCGGGACCTTGTGTGCCTGTTGACCAAGGTCAGCAGCTCTCTGTCCCCTTCTCTGCACGTGAGACTCCGCCATTTACAACACAGCAGCGTGCTCAGGATTGGGCTGGTCCCCTGCACCCTTCCCAGGGTCTGTGGTGGTTTTTCACATGCAAAATACACTTGGGATAAATAATAACAGTAAACTGCAGTGCCCAGAATGATGTCACCTGTACCACCTCCAGGCAGGAGTCACTCCTCCCACGTAAATCCAGGTGACGGCAATACAGCCACACAGTTGACTCCAGAGAAGGCCCTGGGGACCCAGGACTGACCCTCCCTGCCCCTGCTCCCCTTGTCTTCCCTCTGGACGCTACACAAACAAGAAGGGCTTTCAAAGGGACAGTGAAGAGACAGAATAAGAAGCATCCCTGTGTGTCTACTGTATACATCCCTGTGTCGAGCGTCTACTGTATACAAAGCATTTGATGTCATTCTGCTTAAGGCATCTGTCTGAGGAAGGCTGTTCGCCCTGCAGGAAAGGGAGGGGGGACTTACAGTCCCTGGGCTGGGGTCACCCACCTCCCCCCGGGGCACATGCCCTCTCTGCCCCTGAGTGGGCCCTGGGAGCCCCCATCCCAAAGGTCTCAGGTGTCAGCCCTCTTTCCTGCCCCAGGGAGAGATCTGAGCAGCTCCCTGGTCACATGCCTGACTCTGCATTTTTAATTACATTCCTACATTACAGGGGCAGAACCCCTAACTCTTTAAGGCCTCCCCTTCCCCGAAAGACCGTCAGTATGACAGAGCAATCTCATGTACCTGGTCGGCGGCGAGGTCAGCCTCGGAGGGCCCCGCGCACCTCTGGGCAGGTGTGGTCAGGAATCCGGCGACTCACTGCCCCCCAGGGCAGCGAGCCTCGGCTGTGGGAGCAAGGGCTCACGTTAGTCCATTCTAGGGAGTGTGCACGTTTACAAACTGTTCAAATATACAAACGAGAAGGGGGGGGGAATCATTTTTCAGACCTTAGATTCCATCCTGGGCCGGGCATCTGCTCCCTTCCTGGGAGAAAGCCGCTGCCTCACCTCTGGCCACCTGGGAGGGAAGAGAAACTGCTCAGAGGTCTCCGCCAGGGTGGAGCCCACCCACCTGAGCCACTGCCTCGAGCCTCATCACTGCCAGAAGTCCTACTGTGCACTAAGAGAGGGCGGGTGCAGAGCGGTGCCTACAGACCGACGCCAGGGGCCAGAGCAGAACAGGGTGGGGTCCCGCTCCCTGGACGTGGCGGGGCTCCCAGCTGAGGGTGCACCACTTGCCTGGGAAGGTGATACTTCGAACTGCCTGGGAGTCAAAAGTCAAAGGTCAGGGAGCTAAGAGGGTCACTCAGTGTCACACAAGAGGCCAGGCCCTAGCCCCACATTGACTCAAAAGTCCACTTACTGGAGAGCAAAATGGGGGTCCCACACAAACGGGGGAGGGTGCTGGAAAGAGCACTAGTGGGGCCCTGGGTGGGTAGGTGCGTGGTCCAGGTACTGTTAGAGATGTGAGTGGCTTAAGGTATGTCCCAGGCCTCAGTTTCCCCTTCTGGAAAATGGGATAACGAAAGGCCCTCCACAGGGTGTTCTGTTCTAAGAATGACAGAATGAAAACGGTGCCAGGCACACAGAAAATGTGGGAGCCACCTCACAGAGGCACCAGACGTGGCATCCGGGACCGGGGCTCCCGTGACAAAGGCATTAATTTATCCAATAACTTTCCAGAAAGAAGCCAGGTCCCAGCCCAGAGGACGGAAGCAAACCCACTGAATACTTGCATCAAAGGTAAGACTGGGGGTGGGGGTCCCATGCTGACCTCCCCGCCGGGGGTGGGGCATGGGCCTGGGGGGGGGCTGGGCATTTAATGGGGTGGGCAGGTGATTGGGAAGAAATGTTAAAGGGTCCTTCTGTCTACAGAAAAACCTTGGCGAGGGTTACTCAGTACCTTGGTTCAAACACGTGAGCAGCTATACTTAGCATGTCCTGGGCCAGCTGTCCTACCCTCCGCCGACACCCAAATTAGCCAAAAGGCATCAGGAATGACTCCATGAGCTTTTGGGGGAGACGCAGGCAGACTCCCATTGGGCCACAAGGAGGGCTGTGTGGACCATAGAATGACATGGGCCTCTCTGGGCCTGAGGGTCCCTCAAGGTCCCTGGAGGGCCACTGCCCACCCGACGTGGGACGTCTGCTCCCGCTCTCTCAACGCCACCCCCTGGCTTCGAGTGTTAGCCCTGCCTCCTGCTTCCTGAAAGGGGCCGGCTGAACCTCCAAATTCAATGTTGGGCCACACCCACATGGTAAGGAGTGCAGTCAGTAACAGGTCTGAGTGGCAAGGGTCCTGCTTGTCCCGGCACAGACACTGTGGCGACATCTGTTGGAATTAACGAAATGCAATGACCTGTTGGGACATCGGCATCCACGCCCCCCCCCCCAGCCTCAGTCACCAGCCATATCGCCGGGGGTTCAGTAGCCAGGGTCTGAGAGCCAAGGCCACCTCCAGTCACAGGTCCTGGGCAAGGTCCCTCCCCCTGGACTCGCATGCAGTCCTTCTCCAGGCCAGGCACTGCCCCACACAAGACCGGGGCCCCCATTCAAGTCGGCCCCGCGTGTGAAGATGGTGTTTGAACGGGTGCTGGGAAGGGGACGGCACGGGAGCCCGGACGACAGGACACGCCCCCACTGTGCTAGGTGCCTCCCGATTTACTGAGGGATTGACACGCCTGTGTCCCCTGGGGAAAAGGCCCCCTTCCGCTCGTCAGTGGGGACCCTGAGGCCAGACTCTGCCCCCACCCGCCTCGGGGTCTCCTCCGGCAGACAGCGGCGGGCTCGCCCAGGCGGCAACAGACCACCAAAGACAGGCCTGGATCCCCCGAGGCCCCTCCCTGCCTGGGCGTCAAACCCGGGCAAGGTCTGGGTAAAACCAGCCAGCCTGTGCTCCCGACAGCAGCTAAGATGTGGGACCCTCTGATTAAATGACGTGGAAGAACCCCAACTCCCAAAAGCAGCCACTGGTGCTGAGGCAGGGTGGCAGCCCCTTAGTTCTACCTGCTCTGCCCAGCTGCCCCCAGACCACTGCACCCCAGGGTCACCCCTCAAGCACCTCTCAGGACCCCAGAGGAACAGGAGCAAAATGAGAAGGCCGTACCCAGCCCTCCTGGCCACTCTGGGGAAACTGAGGGCCCAGGAGGACAGTCCTGCTGAAAGTCAGCGTGGGTCCGGCTGGCAGCTGGCTGGCTCCTCCCTCCGGCCTGATTGCCTTGAAAGGCCAGCACACCGTCGGGAGCCGCTGATTGGCCCTGCCGATTAGGGCAGCTCAGGGGAGGACACTCTCTCTGTGACCCCTCTCCCAACCCCTCCCAGGGTTATTCTGGGCCGGGTGATCCAGCTGCCCCCTAGAGCTGCCAGTCAAGGAGCGGGGCCCGGGAGAGGACAGGGACTTATCTGCAGGAACACTGCCCGGGCAGGGGCACTGCCCTTCTTCACCTTGATGACTGGAGGAGGTGAGGGGCTTCGGGGACCCTCCCCAGGAGGCCCCCCCAGCTCAGTCTGGGGTTGGAAGAGAAGCCCTGGGGACAGCCCTAGCTCTGCCGTCACTCCCTGCCTGTCCTGAGTCATGGCAACCCCCTTCCAGAGCCTCCGTTTCCCCAGTGATGCCCAAGGCCCAGCGGGGCAGCAACAGGGAAACCAAGGAGCCCCAGCTTGAGCCTGCCAGTGGCACCTCTTAACCTTGACTTTTTAGTTCAACAAAGAACTAACTACAGCCTGTGCCCTCCCAGGGCCCCAGGGTGCCCACCCCCCGGCAGCAGGACCCGAGAAGTCGAAAGGCCAGGGGAGGGTATTCACAGTGGGGTCGCCCAGCTCCTGAGACCTCAAGGCTGTGTCCCCCCAACGCAGGTGGCTCTGAGCACATTCCTGCAGCCAACGGGGTGCTCGCCCGGTGCCGGCCCCGACGCCCACCCTGATGGCCCAGAGAGCCAGGGGCTCCCACGTTAATGCTGGTGTCTGAGAGGCGAGGAACGGGGAACGTGGAATGGAGAGCCCCAGTCTCCCTCCACCCCCTGCACGCCACATCTCTACCTTCTTTCTCAGCAACTGGGGCCTCGCGCCCTCCTCCCCTGCCCTCACCTCTCCCCTAATCCTTCCACTCCCCACCCCAGGCTCAACTCTGCTCCTAAATATCCTCCCATCTCCTCTTCCAAGCTCTATTTTTAAAATCCGATTTCCTTTACTGTACAAGTGAGCTGACAGAGAGCGGTATTCGCAGAGGGGTGGGCCCCTGGCGCCCCCCCCCACAGCCAGCCCTTCATAGACGCACGTTGGCGGCCCTGACCCAATGGGCCACTTGCTCAGAGGCAAAGCAGGGTGCTGACCTGACGGAGGCGGCGCTGGGCACGGCAGGTGATGAGGCTGGGGTGTGTGTGTCTGTGGGTGTCGGGGGAGAGGGTATGACTCCAAGACCCTGAACCAGGGACACCAAGGCTTGACTCGGGAGGGGGTGTGAAGTGAGAATTTCCAAACCAGCAGCGGATATAGCTTAAAGAAATTGTCCTGCAGCTTGGGACCCTCACATGTGTCCTGGGACCTTCAGAGGACTGAGGGCCCAGAACAATGGTCGGGGGGGAAGTGGTGGGGAGCCTCGCAGGAGTCTGAGGACACAAGCAATGACTGGCTAAAGTGACAGGTGAGACAGCACGGGCACCTCCACCTTTTGAAATGGTGGCCCCGGCAAGGCCCAAAGTCCTCACCAAGGGATGGACAGCTGAGCCCAGAGAACCCTCCAAGGGTTAGAGGGAACCCTCCCGGCCTTGACCCCAAGACCCCACGCTCACCTTTAGCATGGCATGTAACTACAAGGGTGCAGTCCCCACCTCCTTGCTGGTGACAGATGTCCGGCAGGGAGAGGCTGCCTCTGTTTCTTCACCCCGGGGAATCCACCTCAGTGCCTGTCCCAGAAAAGAAATCAGGACATGCTGCTGTGTGAATCAATGAATTATACGCAGGGGTACCAGCTGAAACACATAAAAAACTTGGGGACAATAAAATTGACATGTGTTTGGCGACAGGAAATAAGAAACCCAGTCTTTCGGGGGTGATATACGAGGATGAACATGGGGCTGACATGAGAACTTGGGAGGTGAAAAACTTTGGAATCGTGCAAAGGAATTTCAGCCTGACATCCTGAGTCAGGAGGAGCAACGGAAAGGCTTTTGGGGTTCAGATACTTGGTGCAGTTTTCATTCCGCCCTCAGGCCTCTGGATTTCAACGGGTGGACATTAAGTGCGGAAGGGTTTAAACTGAGATAAGCAGGGGTGAGTCTGGGCACCCCGCTAAGATGCTGAGATATTTTACCTCCACATGAAAAGATTTTAAGCGGGGCTTTCATGAATAGATCTGGGGGTATCTGGACTTTATTTTGAGGAGTGACAGAACCAGACTTTTAAATCATGCTAAAGAATTTGGGTCCCTGCCAAAGGGTTTTAAGAAACGTGATGGCAAGGTTTTTGCTGCTTTTGGGAGATAAGTCTGCAGAAAAACAGGATCGAATGTATTTAAGACAATTGGCTTTGGCCTCCATTATAGGCAATGAGGAAACATTGAAAATTAGAAAGAGAAAAGAAATAGCCACGAATTTAAGTATCACACTAAAACATTTGGACTTCATCAGCTGACAGGACACGGCCTGACTTTGAGAGCCTGCCAGAGAGGTCTGATTGACTCTGGCACCAGCACTGAGAGGCTCTGAGCAGGGCACTTCCATGATCGACTCTGGGGAGATGCAAGCAAGATTTGGTATTTATTCCTAGGTGCTGACATGATTAGCTTTTTGCTGCACACGCCTAGGAATTTGATGTTGGCCAATACAAAGTTCTAAGCGAGGGACATCATGAGGGGTTGGTTTTGTATTTGATAAACAGTATGCAGTGAAATCACAAAATAAAATTCACATTTTATGCTAAGAACTTGGACTTTCACTCTATAATTCCACAACTGAGAGAGAGCCTGAGAGTTTAAGGCACACTTAGCTACAGGATCAAATTTTATATACTGCGCTGGGAAGTGTGAATTTTATTTTAAGGGATGACAAGATCAGATTTTTACATCATGCTAATAAGCTTGGGTTTCAGCCAATAAAGACTTTAAAAGAATGACGGGATGAGATTTAGGGTTTTTTTATAGACTGATCTGAAGATAAATTACATGGTAAAATGTTGCATTTTATGTTAAGTAGTTGGGACTTTATGTCCCAAAGCAATGAAGAAACCTTGAGAAGTTTGAAACTGAGTTACATGACCGAACTTATGCATTTCAGCGGAGCTGCAAAAGTGGATTTTTATGGTAAACATAATATGATCAGATTTTTATCACATGCCAAGGAGATGAGATTTTATGTGAGAGTTGAAGGCATCTGAGCATTTCATCTGGGGAAGGGTTATGATCTCATTTGGAACGCTCAGTAATGCAGAGGCAGCTGAGGTCTTAGCCAACACAGGGTTGTAAGGAGTGACTGATGAGAGTTTTGTCTCCAGGGGAATTAGCTGGAAAGACAAATTTTATGCTAAGGTGTCTGGATCTGATGAACCAGATAAGAAACTGAGGGCGGAGGGCAAATGTGTGCCGTCTGCACTTCAGGCTGCAGAAGTGGGTCAGGCAAGGAATGGATGGGCGGGGCGGGGCACCCAAGAGGTCGCAGGAAGGAGTCCACATGGCACGCAAAGAAGTTTGGACTGTGTTTGGAGGAAGGGACCTCGATTTCGTGCCTGCTGATTTCAGCCGTTTGGATTTCAACCATTAAGAGATTCTAAGAGAGGAATATGGTGAAATCTCTGTATTTAATGAGTGTGCGTGGAAATTATAAAATAAGATGTGTATTTTAGCCCAAGGAGTTTAGATCTTGTCTCAAAGGTGATTAAGAGATACTTTAGGGTTTTGAAGAAGAAGTTATGGGACCAAATTCATCATGTATGTTGCAAGGGGGGGTAACCTCTTATTTCGAAGTATGTCGGTTGTGGTCAAATATTTCTCTCACACTTAGGAGGTTGGAATTAGCTTATTAGCATGATGTAAAAATCTGATCTTGTCATCCCTTAAAATAAAATTCGCACTTCCCAGCACAGTATATAAAATTTGATCCTGTGACTAAGTGTGCTTTAAAGTCGCTGGGTAAGGTTTTGGGTTCTATAGCCATAAGCTTGCAAATAAATCACATGATAAAAAATTTTATTTTATGTTGATTGGAACTTGGTATTATTACCAGTGAACAAAAACTTTGGAAGTTTAAAATAAGTAAGTTGAAATCATTTTTATGCATCTTACTAAAAGTTTTAACTTTGATGTTGAAAGGAGTATTGAAATCAGGTTTTAGGTTGAAAACAAGAATGTTCTAGGACTTAATCAGTTACACCATCAAAAATTTGTAAACTGAAAATTGTAAACTATAATTAACAATTGTAGACTTTATATTATGAAGGGCTAAGAAACTTAAATTTGAGCCAACAGAGTTTTAAAGGCTTTAGGAGACATACTAAGATTCTGAATTACACTCAATTTAAATTTTTTACATTTTAAATATTAGCCAATAAAGAGTTTTAAGGTCTTTGAGTGAAATACTGACATTTTACATTTTACATTTCACATTGTAACCAATTTAAATTTTTAAATTTTCAAGTTTAGCCAATAAAGGATATTAAGGGTTTTAAAAAACATACTGAGATTTTTCCTCCTAACAGAAAAGACTGCAGATGAATTACTTAGTCAAATTTTACATTTTAATTAGAACTTTGTATCAGAGACTTAGAATTTTACAATATTGCTCTGGCTGGCATAGCTCAGTGGATTGAGCACGGGCCTGTGAAGCAAAGGGTCGCCGGTTCGATCCCCAGTCAGGGCACATGCCTGGGTTGCAGGCCAGGTCCCCAGTAGGGGACACATGAGAGGCAACCACACACTGATATTTCTCTCCCATTCTTCCTCCTTCCCTTCCCCTCTCTCTAAATATAAATAAGTAAAATATTTTTTTAAAAAGAATTTGACAATACTACTACACACCTTATAGGACTTCTTCTGAAGGGGAGGTAAGTTAACTTAGACAGTGTGGTCTGTATATATGGCTATAAGGGAGATGTTTACAGTACTGATGGGAAGGAATGGAGGTAAAGAGGATGGTGAGGAGGTTATGAAATTGCTGCTAAGACATGTAATCTCTATCTTGAGAGATGGCATGATCAGGATTTTCTATTATTCAAAGGCCTTGACATTTTAGCCAGAAAATGATTTGGGTGAGTTTACGTGTCAAGAATTTTTATGCTAGAAGATTTGGACTTAATACTATAGACAGTAAATAAACCGCGAAAGGTTTTAATCCACAGGCCTGAGGGGTCAGATTTAACTGTCCCGCTAACAACCGTGCCCTAATTTTGAGAAAGGGCAGGTCAGAATTTTGTGTCTCATTGGAAGGCTTGGATTTTAGCCAACGGGGCATTTTCAGAAGGGCATGAATCCGTGTTTTTCACGGACCCGCCCGGTGTTTGAGGAGACGCACTGAAGGGAGTGACGCGGGCGAGGGCAGGAACGCAGAGCCGCCCCGGTGGACCTCCCGAACGCACCCTGCCCCGGCAGGGAAGAGACACGCGAAAACCCACCAGCGCACTTCTTTAAATGCAGTCTGGGCCCGTGAAAAACCCTCTGGACACACACACCCTTTTTTCCGGGGGAAACCAACCAGCAATCGGGAGGGGCTGCCTGCTACAGTAGAGGGGTCAGCTGTGTCCCCCCACTAATACGATTGGAGGATCAAGCCCACATCTTTGCACATGTGGAACTGAGGCCGAGATTTTGAAGTTCCCCGCACCCCACAGATAAAGGGGACAACCCTGGGCATGTGGAGACTTTGGAAGGGGTGGGGGGAGGACTCCCAGGGTTCCTCAACCGCTCGGAGCTGGGGCGGACACAGCGTGGCAAGTCCATCAAAAAGAGAAAGAGAAATAAGCCAAAAATCCCGAGTTAGCATCCCATTGCCACGTACAAATCTCTGGCACGCAGTCGATGTTTTATAAACGCTTACGGAAAAAATAAAACCCAGAATCCAGAGCTCTATATCCAGCCCCTGTGATTTCTACTTTGAATCTGGGGGAGGAAATAAAGCTATTTTGGGCTGCTGACCCAGGACAGCGGCCAAGTGCCCGTTTTCTCCTCTTCTCCTGAACTTGTTGAACAACAGTCCTCCCTGCAGAGATTCCCACCTCATACCAAGGCCAAGCTTGCCCCAGGGGAGCTCGCCTGCCAGGCCTGGTTTTGGATGGCACGTGGATGTGACCTCTGTGACTTGAGGGCGACCACAGGAGGGAAAGAGGATTGATTGACCAGACACGGGTGCCAGGGTGAAATGAAGCAGCCAGTGCCGCCTGCCAGGTGCCTGCTGCCACAGTGCTCTGGGCTGATCGCCCCACCGAGTTTATGGGCTGTGAATTTCTCACCACCACCGGGGAGCGGGCAGGCCAGACAGGACAGCAAGCCTGGGAGGGTGGGCGAGAAACCAGGGGCAGACTGGCATCCCCAAATCTCTCCCTGGGGGGGACCCCAAGTGGGACACGGAGGCTTCCCCACTTCCTCTGTGTTCCACGTGCTGGGCCTCTGATGCGTCTCGGGGATCCGACCCTGACCTTGAGACCCTAAACCGCTGCCTTTCCTGCCCACCCCTCTGTCCCCGCCAGGTTCTGATCGCTGTGGTCCCAGTCGCTGACGGGCCGCATCGCCACCTTACCCGTCTTCAGAGAACACTCCTTTCCATCCGACGACATGATAGAACCCTCTGAAGACTCATTTGAGACGATGATGGAGCGTAAGAATCCATCATCAAAACAAATGGAGTCCTCCGAGGGCTCATCCAACACCACCGTGGAGGCCGCGGGCGGCGGAGCGCAGGAGGCGGCGGGGCCGGCCGGCGGCCCCGCCCAGGAAGCGGCAGAGCTGCCCAGTGTCCTCCTCCAAGACATGGAGGAGCCATCCAGTGGCCCACATAGGGAAGTAAAGGATCCACCCAATGACCTACTCCAAGACCTGGAGGAGTCACGCAACGCTTCACGTCAGGAAGTGGGGGGTCCGGTCGGTGAGGCACCTGGTGAGATGGAAGAAGCATTTGTCAACCCCTGGGGAGAGCCGGAAGAGCCAGGTGAAGACGCTGACCTTTCTGGATGGCGAGAGGCGGATCCTCCCGAAGAGCCGGAGGAGGAAGACTTCAACTCGGAGTTCATGGTCAGGCTGAGGTCCCTCATCTCTCTGTACTTCCGGATGCAAGACCTCAAAGAGCAGCAGAGAGTGGCGGAAGACATCCTGGTGAGAGGCATCGCCGCGGGCCAGCTGCCACCCCTGAGGCGCTTCTCTGGCGACCGCAGAGAGTACCACGAGTTCATCGTGCTCTGCCAGCTCATCTTACAGAGCTACCCGAGGCGGTTCTGCAGCGACCGCCTGCGAGTGCAGTACGTCATCAACCACCTCTCGGGCATGGCCCTCGAGTGGGCCAAAGGCCTGGTGCAGGCAGGCAGCCCCGTGGTCAACGATTTCCCGGCTTTCCTAGAGGCCATGTCAGAGGTGTTCGAGTACCGACAGGCCATGCGTGTGGCGGAAGACGCCATGTTTCGCATCAGGCAAGGGGATCGCGCCGCCATCGACTACGTCAAGGAGTTCCAGGGCTTGGTACCCACCTTGGGCTGGCCCGATGAAGTCCTGCAGGCCCACCTGTGCCAGGGGCTCAGCGAGGAGATCAGGCATTACCTGTTCCGGGTCCCCCAGCCGGACTCCCTGGACAGTCTGATTGTGCTGGTCCTGCAGATCGAAGAGAAACTGGCTGAGAGAAGGGCCGTGCTCAGGCTGCCCCCCGAGGCCCGCCCGCGGAACCTGACCTGGATCGACTCACCTGCTCCCGAGAGGTGGATGGTCAGCAGCTGGATGCCCTGCGACGTCCACCCGGCCATCGACCGCAAGCACCTCTTCCTGCTGCTCCTGGTGAGAGTGAACCCATACCACAGCGTCGCGGTGCAGGCCCTGGTGGACTCGGGCGCAGCCTCCAACTTCATGGATGAGAGGTTCGCCCAAGAGCACTATGTCGAGCTGTACGAGAAGGCCTACCCGCAGCCTATCCAAACCGTGGATGGCTCGCTGATCGGCAACGAACCCGTCTGGCTGCACACTGAGCCCCTGGTGTGCATTCATCAGAACCACCACGAGTCCATCGAATTCGACATCGTTCCTTCGCCCAACTTCTCCGTGATCTTGGGCATCAACTGGCTCCGTGTGCACACCCCCGAAGTCGACTGGGCCCAAGGCCGCTGCACCTTCCACTCTCCCTACTGTCTAAAGAATTGCTTCTGCCCACCCCCGCCATGCACCGCGCTGGAGAGACATGCCATAAGCCTGCTGCCCGGACTGCCGCCCCAGTATTCCGACCTGGCCGACGTGTTTAACCCGAAGGAAGCAGATGATGAGACTTCCGACCAGCCAAGCTCAGACGGATCCGATGATCTTTCTGAATCAGAGCCCTCTGAGCTTCAGCAGGCTGGAGACAGTGATCACAGCGACAACTTCTACGAATGTCCCTCCTCGGCGCCTTGGGAACCTGTGGGTGCTGGGATGCAAGAAACAGCCAAGCCGCGGAATGACTACTGGGACCTGCACGACATGCTGACCAACAAACAGGACTACATACAGATCATTCCGGAACTGTTTGACCAATTACACGGGGCTACATGGTTCACAAAGCTGGAGCTGCGTGGGACCATCGTGGAGGAAAGCATGAACATAAACCAAACAGAAGATGTATGGAGGACGGCGTTTGGTTTGGAGCCTCAAGAGACGGACAGCTACCCGCCCTTTGAGATCTGCCCAGACCCTCTGATCCCTCAGAGCACGGTGCACTGCATCCTGAAGGACATGCTGGGCTACTCTGTGCTCTCCTACGGGCACGACGTCCTGGTCTACTCGATGAGCCAGGAGGAGCACATGCAGCATGTCCGCCAAGTCCTGGTCCGCTTCCGGCACCACAGCGTCTACTGCTCCCTCGACAGGAGCCAGTTCCACCTGCACACTGTCGAGTTCCTGGGGTTCGTCTTGAACCCCAAAGGGGTGAGGATGAACAAGAGCATCGTGACCACCATCACGGGGTACCCCATCCCCGGCTCTAAGAAGTCCCTGCGACACCTGATCGAATTCATCCTCCCCTACCGCCACTTCGTGGACCGGTTCACCATCATCCTCGAGCCGCTGGTGCGGCAGCTGGTGGGCACCGAGCCCTTCTACTGGGGCGACGAGGAGCAGGAGGCCTTCGAATGCCTGAAGCGGGCCTTCCGCAAGGCCCCCCTCCTGTACCACCCGAAGCCCCAGAACCCGTTCTACTTGGAAACGGGCATCACGCAGACGGCTCTGCACGCCTCCCTCATCCAAGTGGACGACCAGACCGGCAAGAGTGTCTCCTGCGCTTTCTACTCCCGCAACATCTCTCCTATCGAAGTCGACTACTCTCCACTGGAGATGAAGATCCTTCCAATACGGGCTGCCTTCATGGTGTGGTGCCGCTACCTGGAGAACACCGAGGAGCCCATCATGATCCTTCTTAACACGGAGGATCTCACCTCTCTGAATAATGACAGGCTCACCGTACTTCTCCCGGGGCATTGGGTCTTCTTCTTCTCCCACTTCAACTTTGATGTCATGGAGCGGCCCGAGCAAGATGGCGGCCGGCCCCGGCCACCGGTGCGGAACCCCCGCCGCAGGCCTTTCCAGGCCCGCACTGCCACCCAGCCCCACAGACGGTTCAGCACGGGAGGATCCCCCAGGGATCAGCCCCCAGAGTCGGGGGACGAAGAGGAGACCGAAGATGCCCCTCCCCAGGAGGAGGCAAGTGAGCAGACCCTCCACCGAAAGTTCCTGGCTTGGGTCCCAGTGGACCAAATACTCAGCAACATCCTGGCCCATCTCACCGTGGCCCAGATCAAGGCGGTCATTCTGCACTTCTTCCGAGGCCTGCTCTTCTGGAAGAACACCCTGGCCGTGGCGGCCCTGCTGGTGATGATGAGGGCGACGCAGCGCCTGCCGCTGCTGCCCGCGCCCACCCTGGCAGTGGCGCAGCTGCCCGCCAGGCGCCTCGTCCTGCACTCGACCCTCCTCCCAAACCGTGGCGTTACCAGGGCCATCACCCAGCTGCTGACCCAGATGCTCCCTTTCAGGCGCACCGATGCCGTCCCAGCCGCGCCGGGGGCCCTGCTGCCCCGGGCCTCCCGGGCCCTGCGCCTCCCGCCCGAGTTCTGGCTGATGCTGTGCCAGCGCTTTGCCGTCAGCTTCAACCCTGGAGAAGGGCCTCAGGCCCTGCTGCTCGGGAGCCACCACCTGGAGCTGCACGTCGTCGGCGGTAATGTCGTCTTGCGAGAAGCCCTGCAAGACGACCTGCAACGTTACCGTCAGTGTGGCCTGCATGACGGCCTGCAAGACACCTCGCAGGACGCGCAGGTGGACGACGTGCAGAAGGACGACGTGCCGGAGGTCGAGGTGCCAGGGGACCAGGCGCAGGGGAACAACGTGCCAGGGGACAACGCGCAAGGGGACCAGGTGCAGGACGCCCCGGGCGCTGACCCCAGCCCCGCCATCCCGGATCAACAGGAGGCCCCAGTCGGAATCCTCAGCTTCCTACACAGCCACTTGCCAGCCGCCCAGGAGCAGCCCAACCGGGCGCAACAGGACCCGGCAGCCCGGAGCCTGGCCCACTTCCTGGCCATGATCTGTGCAGAGGCGCCGGTCCCGATCCGGGGCAGACAGCCCCGGGAAAGAGCGAGGCTGGAAGAGCTCCCCGAGGACGACGAGGACTCGGGCCAGCACTGAGAGACCAGCCCTCTGGCCGAGAGCCCCCTCCTTGGCCCCAGACACCCTGAGACTTCTCCTCTCAGGCCCCGCCTGCCTGTGCCCGCTTTGCTCGAACCCAGCGCTGCTCCTGCCACTCCTGCCGCTTCGGCCCCAAGGGGAGCCCACTTGAGAAGGGCAATGATTTTTCTCCAACTCAACAACCAGTAACATCATCAGTGCCAACAGACTAGCCAGTCAACAGGAACCCAGAGCCGGCCCAGGGCAACACAACGCCCTGTCTGAGTTCTCAGGTCCCAGACCCATCACTGGGGCTGAGGCCAACCACAGAAGAAAGCAGTGATGAGCAGGAAATGACCCCATGACCCCAGGCCAGGTGAGAATCAAGCGCAGCAGACACAGCCAAGCAAGCAGATGCCAGAGACCCGCCCCCATGAAGTGGCGGGTGGCCGCTGGGTGCCATCCTGGGACACTGACCTCAGGTGCTCCACTGACCTCTTCTACCTCCAGCGCCGGTGCTCCTGCCCCCCCTGGGCCGCCCCCGCCCCCACCCTCTCGACGTCTCTTCTCTTCTTCAGTGTGCAGTGGTGCCTCCCGCACGCCACCCCTGCCACCCCCTGCAAAGCCGGCCGCCCCCAGTCTGGTCCAGCCCGCTCCACACTGACTGCCTGGCCCTGACTCTTGCCCCTTACCTGGACAGTGTGCTCCACGGGGCGGCCCGATGTACCAGCACTTACCGGACTCACGTCCTCGAGAGGCCCCAAGACTCCCCAGGAGCCGGAGGGCTCCCTGCCCCCCTCCCAGAACCGGTGGCCCAGGGGCCTCCGAGAGAGACTGGGCACTCTGAGACCCCCAGCGCACTATGCCAGGCCGCTGAGAATGTCCCTGCCAGACCGCTGCTTTCTGCCACGGGAAGGAGATCCTTCCCTACACCTTCCCCTCTCACCTTCCCCAACCCCAAATAAAGCAGAATAAAAGATTATCTGACTTTGTCGTCTGTTCCGAAGGTGGAGAGTGGGCAATCAAGTGGAGTTGCAGGGAGGAAAAGGGAGATTGGGGGGCTGGGGTCTCCTTAGAAACAGGCCCTGACTTGGTTGTGGGGACACTGAGAGCTGTCTCTTCTTGAGGGTAGGGTCCCCAGAGTAGGATCCCCAGAATTCCAAGTCCAACCTCTGGCCTCCAACCTCTGTGGGCCTTCTTCCCACACAAGAAATGAGGGGTGGGGAAGTGGCACTTGGCCCCTTAGCTCGGGATCTGAGAACCCGGGAGCCCCAGGCTTCACACTGGCCCAGAAGCAGCAGAACAGCTCTTCTGAGGGGGCACTGCCCCGAGAAGGGGGAAGGGTCCTAAGAGAACAAGGGCAGCAGAGGGGGTGGCACTGGTTCCCTCAGGCTCCCTTATGCCACTGCTCCGCACACACTGTCCCAGGGCCCCCGCTGGCCTTGGGGTCCAGCCACCCCCAGCAACAGCCTCAGTCCTGGAAGTATACCTCTGACCCCACCCCACTCCTAGCGTGACCCTGAACTTCAGCAGGGCCAAGTGGGCCCAAGATGGCTGCCCCGTGAGATCACCAAGCTGACCTCAGGTTCAAAGGTCAGGAGCCTGACTTTGCACCCCCCTCACAAGCCTGCTCCTCCCTTCCTGCACCCTAAGGAAAGTCTGTCCCCCACTGACCCCAGCTCCTGTGCCCTATGCCCTCCCTGGTCCCCAGGGGTGACCACCCATCCCCCTGTCTAAGGCATCTACCCCCAGTGGCAGCACCAAGAGGTCATGGTCAGGACCTGCTGGTTCAGAGCCAGGGGCTCAGCTCTACCTCTGGGCCTGTCCCCACCCCACCCAGGCCCAGGCTCACTGGCTGGCTGCCCACCCCTCTCCCAGCCTCGGTTTCCTCATCCGCCCACAGGAAGGGCTGGGCACAGGTTCTCTGCCACCACCCATGGGTAGACTTCTGGTGCCCCTTTATTCAGGACAAACCTGGGGAAGCCACGGCTCAAAGAGCCTCAGGGTGGCCAAGGAGGAATGGGGAACACGTCCAGGACTGGGGCCTCTGCCGGCGGCCTCCATCCTCTCCCCCTGGGCCACCCAGCCCCACCACGAACCCTGTACAGCTCTGGTCCCAGGGCCCAGGCAGCAGCCCTGCAAACAGTTAACCTCATGGCAGCCCCAGGAGCCAAGGACACCACGTCTGTCTGTCTGTCTGTCTGACCACCCACTGACAGCAACTCCAAGAGGCCATGGGCAGGCCCCAAGGGTCAAGGTCAGGGGCTGAGCTGCAGCAACCCCAGCATTCCCTTTGGTGACCCCAACGCCAGCTGGCTAGGTGACCCTGGCTAGGAGCTGTCCTGTCCCTAGGCCCGTTTTCCCCGGGGAATGTGGCGAGAGGGAAGGGGAGCTTCAGGGACAACAAGACACAATCTCCAAGGGCCCCTGGTTCCTAAAATCCCATCTGACCCCACGTGACGCTCATCCAGGCCCCCAAATCTCTTGGGGTGAACTCTCCTGGGCAAGAGCCTGGGGTCATGGTGGGGAGGCCACCTGCAGCACTGGTCCCTGGTTCAGGCCACCCCCGGGAGGGAGTTCCATAAGCTGTCCCCTTGGGGCAACCCTTAGTGCCTGCGTGGTAGGAGCTGCCTGGGGTGACTGGGAATGGGTGGATGACCCCTCGAGTCCCTGCGGCCCCAGCCAGCGTTGGTGGAGGGTCAACAGAACAGCCTCTCAACAAAGGCCAAATGGAGAACTTGTCACCAACAGCCCTGTCCTTCAGTGGGGAGCACCAGCACCCACCAGGGTGTCCACATGTCCACGGTGACACGCACAGGCATGTGCACATGGGCACGTGCTCACAGGCAGAGCCATAGGGCTGCAGCACAACAGTGTCCGGTGCATCCCATGCCGGCGGCCAGTGGTGCCCTGGCCGCCCCGGGCCCCACCCTAATCTAGCCACGGGGGCTGCACCCCCATTCACAGAGAAGACACGCAGCCCCCCCAGCAGGGGAGGTCTGCTGACAAGGCAAAGACATCGGGTGATGAGAGCCCCACCTGCTTAAAAAAGTTTAAAAAGACATATACAAACCTCTTTTCTCCTGAAACAACACAAAGAGAGGAAAAAGAGAGAGTTAGTATTAAACGACATGCTGTGTTATGACGTCATAGCGAACACCGAAAGTAGAAACTCCCGACAAGCATGCGTTTGCTCCAGACAGCAGACGACCGGCACACACACACACACACGCGTGTGACCACGCCAACCCACGCCGGATGCACCATGTCCCACCTCCCCTCCTCCCAGATCCCTGGCACTCACCAAGCTCTGACACCATTCAAGGGACCAGGGGGGACCCCTGAGTTCCACCCCAGGTGAAGCTGCCCCCATCTCTCCCACCTTTAGCCCACACCACCAGGGCTGCCTCCAGGCCTGGGCCTGATTCTAGAACATTCAACAGTGCACACACCCGCAGGCAGCTGATGGTACTCACCACTCAGATCCAGATTCGCCCAGCCCTCCTGCAGGTGACCGCAGGGCCACGTAGGGGCTCCCGACACCGGCCCCCATGGGAGAGTGTGGCAAGAGCTGCTAGAGCTTGGATCCCCACCCCACAGGAGAAGGGGGAGGCCACCCACAGAGCCCACTGTGCCCCACCTCCACAGCTGCCACCCAGGACCCTGCTGCGGGCCCACAAGCATCACCAGGAGGGGACCTTGGACCCAAACAGCAACCCTCACCCTGACCCCGACAGGGTCTTCCAGAACAATCAGAGCATTTGGTTCTGAAATGCCTTGAACCTCAGATTTCTCACAGCCACCCAGCCAACTGAACCCAGGCCTCTGCAGGAGGTCGGTTTAGTTCAACAGAGAGACGCAGCCTGAGAAGAGAGGATGGGGGGGTGTGCCCCCCAGAGGGGCAGGGCCGCTTGCCCAGCACTGGTCCTGAGGACGTCCCACCAAGCGGTTCCCAAAGCCAGGCGCTGGGCGCCCTCAGCCAGGGAGCCGAGGGAACTTACGGAGCATGCGGACTGGGCCCCGGCCCCTCCTCCCAGACCTGGGACACCTCGAGTCCGGAAGTTTGGAGACCTGCGTGTTCTGTGGGTCACACACTGGCCACTCCTGGAGCTCTCGTCTCCATCAGAGGGCACCTCTAAGTGGAATAAAGGCCTGTCCCGGGCCAACATCATCCCAAAATGGGACCTCGCTTGTCACGCACGTCTTGCTCCAGGCCAACACACACACACACCACATCCTGCCCACCCGACTCTATTCGAGCTGTGCCCTCCTCAGGAACGTCTTCCCGACTCAACAACCACCTGCTGATGCCCTGAAGAATGAGAGGTGCAAAGGTGGGGGGTGGGGGGCAAAGGAGAGGGGATGAGGAGGGGGCAGGGGCAGGGAGAGCGAGATGGGTCAGCAGGCAGGAGAGTGGGAGGGAGCCGTTGTCCCTCCTGTCCTGCGCAGCGGCCCCTCCTCTGCCGGCCTCCCACACATGTTCCTGGGCTGGCTGCAAGGCTGGTTAGTGGGTTAATGATGTCACTAGCGCAGGGGCCAACAAGGGTCACCTCCCACCATCTTCTGAGTGAGTGAAGGACACTGGTCTAGCACCCTTGGGTACCTGGCCCAGGCAGGGCTGGACGTGAGCAAAACCAGGGAGAGTTCCCGGCTGAGGGAGGGGGACCCCGACTTCGGAATCCTGGGGAAGCTGGAAATGGCTCCGGATGGGGTTCAAGGAGAGAGGAAGCAGCCGCCTGTGAGGGCCCTCAGCCTCCTGGTCATGAAAGAGTCCTGGGGAGAGGCTAAGGCCCCTCCAGGAGACCCTCCTCCTGTGGCAGTGGAAGGTCAGCCGCTCTGTTCTGAATCCTGCCCCCTAGTCCTGGGATCCACGGGCACGGCCTTCCCAACACCTGCCCCACTGTCCTGGGAGCTGGGTCCCCTCAGAGCTCTCTTGGCGGAAGCACAGCACAGCCCCACCAGTGGGAGAAGCCCCAGGCAGGCCCTGACCCACGTCTGGCCTGCCTGCTCTTGGCCACCAA